CCCTGTGTTTCTGTTTGAGGAACGCGTTGAACCCGGTGAACACCAGATTCATATTTTAATTTGCTGTATACACGTTTTCCTTTTATCTCCATCACATAGGTCTTGAATCCTCCTTTTTCAGCCTGAAAGAGTGCAAGAAATCTGTGTCAGTCATGTCAACAGCAACAGGATATACCTCTAAAAATGTCAGCAAGACATACCTCTGAGCTTGAAACTGCGCTGAACCTCCAATTATTCCTCTCACTGTACTTCTCATACATACGAACCTTGATATGAAAAAACAGAAAAGAAAAAGAAAATGCAGAAGCATCAAGGTATGCTCAAACGAGACTTGAGAAGAAGGATTTCATACCGCAAGAAATATCTTTTTGGCCAATGAGGCTTTTCATTTAAAAAGAAAACATGAAAAGAAAAGAAATATTGCACAGTCACACCAATAAGAGATACAAAAACATGTACTTTGTTTTGTAACCCAACCCATGAATATAGTATGATTTTTCTTTCTTTTTACTAATTTTTCTGTTGTATGCAACTCAAAAATAATGGGACATTCTTTACATTTTAAAGGACAAAAGAAACATATACCTACAAGATCACCTGCCCAGATTCCAGCTTCATCACCACCAGTACCAGCCCTTACTGCAGCAAGGGAAAATACTGCTTTTTAGTCATAATGAAATGGAAAGACAACCACCAGCATTGCAAACAATTAGCAAAGCACTCAATAAAGATGATCCATGTCCACTGGGAACAATATATATGTGGGAGGAACAGTTTCGGTCAAAGCTAATCACTCATTCCACCTCCTCCGCATATATATTGTTCCAATGTTTGCACGTCTCTTCCTAAAACGGAGAGAGCATTTTACATCGTTAAAAATCATGTCGTCCGCAAGCAATCAAATAGAACAATATATTTAAAGGGCAAGTATGAGATTACCTTCAAGCATTATATTTCTTGCATCAAGAGGGTCACTAGGAAGGAGTAGCATCTGTTAGCATAAAATGGAACGTTATCCCAATGGATATTGCAGAATATGGCAAAGGAAAAACATTATGTAAGAGAAACAACAATCTTAGATCAACGTAGTCAAGAATACCAATTTGCTATCAAAAGAACCAAATAATATAAATAAATAAATAACTCCATTATGCATGTAAAAGTACCTTGAGCTTCCCTTCCAGCTCTTTGATTTGATTGGATAAAGATTCAATTTCATAAGATATCATCTCTGCCATATCCTCATCATTGCCAGCATCTTTTGCTAAAGCTGATATATCGATTAAGAGGGGGAACATATCAGAATGAATGTTAGTGAATACCTCCAGAATTTTCAAAAGAAATGTTTTACACAGGCATACAAGTTAGAGTAAACCTTTTGTCTCCTGTAACTGCTTCTCGCAGTCTTTGTAATTCTTATAGATTGTCACAACCTGACCAAAGAAAACAAAGGCAAAATATTGTCAGTTAAAACCTGAAATGAAATTCAAGAAGAACATACGAGTAAAACCTGGCATGAGAAGTAGCAAAGATAAACTGCATCACCTCATCGAGCTCAGCCACGGACTGTGCCAGCTTCTGGTATTCACTGGGATTTGACACGACGTCTGGATCAGCCAGCTTAACCTGCAATTTTATTTTATTTTCTTTTATATAAGTACACTCAAATGTAGAGAAAACAACAGCAATAACTAACCGTGCAGCAGCATAGTACAAGACTCTATACAGAAAAACCAATTAAACCCAATTTATGCTGGTCTTTCATAATCCTTTGTTTGATGGCATGGTCCAGAAATGCCGTAATGGTACTAGGTCTTATATTTAAATCATTCGAGAGACAGTCTGGAGTTATCGCCTATTGCATAAAAAAGAGGGTGGAGGCGGAACCATAAAATTTTGAGTCAAAGTTTCATGCCAGAGTTCTCTGCAATGGCCCTTCAATTGTAATCAGTGCCATAAAAAATTTAATGACCAAAATGCCATATTTCCAACCTTCCCAAACCATTCAAATTCTCCACCAGACAAATCCATAAACCACTGCCTAAAACCCTAACCCATATACTTAGATAGTAATTCAAAAGCTCACAAACACACACAGAGAGGGAGAATACTCGATAACCCAAAACATTATAATTTATATTAGTGTGAGAATCATACCGATAACTCTTTCCATGTCTTCTCGGCAGAATCCAGCTTTGTAATCAAATAGGGCTCCTACAATTTCACAAAACAACACAAGAAAGTGAGTCCTACAGCATCTGTTTGTTTCTCGGGAAAACTATTTCCATCACTAAATAAATATAATTACAGAAAGGAAGTTAAAAACTGTGAATTATTTTATTATTATTTTGTGATGTACGAACCGCCATGCAAATGAGTCTAGGAGCTCTTGGAGGAGGTTTATTAAAGGCCAGGGAACTCCGCGAATGGTCGTGGAAACGGTGTCGTAATGGAAATGCAAGTAATCGAGCGGGTGTGGTGGAGCTCGTACTCATTGCAGCCATGGAAGTAGGAGGCCAGGGAAAAAGCGCGCTCCAGTCGAAGTGGTAGGAAAAGAAAATTGGTTTGGTTTTTTCAAGTTATGGATGGGGTAACCGCGAAGAAACGAACATGTGGTGTTTGGAAAAGATTAAGTTCCCCATACAAGTCTTGTTTGGTTACTGGGATATCCTATCCGAATCGCGGAATAAGGTTGTGATTGGAAGCAACTACAACAAGTTTCTTTGGTGGAAACAAAAAATTGCCAAGAGGAGATTGTTGTTAACTTGCAAATTCTGATTAGATATTTATAAATAAACCCAATCCTAGACATGTATTTATAAAAAAACCCAAATACTATTTAAACATAGAAACACACCCAAAATCAACCCCACAATCAACAATTGTATATTTTTTGGGTGTGTTTATAAATGAGTTTTGAGTGTGTATAATGATGGATTTTGGGTGTGTTTATAAAGTGTTTTGGGTGTTGGGTTTTTTTATAATTTCAACCCCCATTTTGGGTGTTTTAGTGAAACTCCCAATTCTGATCACATGCTAAAATACAATTATCTCATATAAATTAGAGGCATACGATAAGGTGCTTGTACCAACATCATTTATATTTAAATAATAATAAAACTATAGTAAGTAAACAATGTTTAATAATTTATTCACTTCTCTCTCCCAAATCTTAGCCCCCTCTTTCCCCAAAAATCCTCGTAAAGTCGTTTTCACTTTAATGGGGGAGGAGGTCACTATTCTTCCTCCCCTCTCCCATCTTCTCTTCCTCCCTCTCTTCTCCCCTCATTTTAAGAGACAAAAGGTTTTTCCTGTTTATCATCGTTTTGTTATGATTTTCCTTCAACCATCATAGGCTGATTCGTCTCTGTGTCAGATCTCCACCATCATCTTTTTTGCGATTTCTTTATGTTTGTAATAAATTATAGAGACTCTTTGGGTTCTCTATGTAGTTTTTACCTCTCATTTTGTGAGAGTTTTCCACCTCTTCTTTGTGAGAACTTTTCATCTGTCATTTGTGATAGTTTTATTTGTATTGTTATGGCTTTATTTTTTCAAGCTTTATTATTATTTTTAATTATTCTGAGTTTGCAATCTTAGTTGAGATGCCTATGCCAAAGTTTATTCGATCATGCATGATCATTAGTGGAGGCGCACCAAATTATCTTAATTTTGATGTTAGACGGTTCCGTTATTGTAATGGCCTTTTATAACTAATTAGTAATTTGTATTGACCATTTGTGGCTAGTGGCTTTTTTTGTTGAATTATGAATACAATTTTATAATTTCTATATATATATATATAAAGGTTTTCAATACAATGAATACGTCATCCATCTCGCTTCGTTATATATATATATATATATATATATATATATATATATTATTTAATAATATTTATGTAGTTATGAGTACGTAAGCGTGATAAATACATAGTAGACAATATGCTAACATCCAAACGGTCTTGAACCAACAAGATAAATAGGGTCTATCACTTCTAAAGTAAGAAGAAATGGTATAAAAGCAAATTGTTGATAAACTGAGGCCTTTACTCAAGAAAAGTACATATCTCGTGTTAATACGCGCCGCGCCTCTTCTTCAATGACTCGGTTTGGCTTAATATACAAATCAGTAGCGTGTAACTTTATTTAAGTTGCTTATGTACGAGATGTATGTAATTCTTTCACCGCCTATCTAAACTGAAGGAGAAATATGATTCGTTTGATTAATAAAATGACTTTTCCTTAACTCCCTCTTTGCTTTTTGAACACATGAACATTTTTTCACCATACATGAACTTGACAATGTTGATTAAAAAACAATTGATAGACACATAGCAAAGTTATAGTTGTCTATGTAAGCTCATCCTGACCCCCAAAAAAAAACAAATAAGCTCATAAATTTTTGGTGTATAAATTTGGTAAGAACATTTCTTGCAACTTGGAAGAATATAAGGCAATCAAAGCATTTTATAATTGAATGCGCACCGCCTTGACCAACAAAATAGGAGAACATATGTCCCCCCCCCAATAATTTAGATGCGATCGATCGAGCGAGCCGTTTATCTTGTCGTACATTCTTAAGCTAGATTTTAGCGCCGATTTGGTTTTTTTGGGTAGAGAGAGAGCAACAACATTCATTAGTTGAGAATCTAAACTTCCGACCACACGCCGTACAATGCAAAACTCGTATTTTTGTCCGAGACCAGCTGAGTCGGAGTAAAAGTGGCTCCATTCGTGCACGGCTGGCTGAGAGACCAGCGAAAAAACAAGCCAATCAGAAGCCTCTCTCATCACTCCAATTACCGAAATGACAGTTTCGTCCACCACAACGAAGCCCCATTTTGTCACATCCCACGTCTGCACCCACAAGGGCTGCTTCGTAATTTCCAAGGCCCAGCGTCGGTTCCAAAACGAAGCTTGCTCTTTCCAGGTGTGCTTTATTTTGGCCGGTACGGAAACACAGTCCAAGTGTTTAAAAAAAAAAAAACAAACAAAAAGAAAAAAAACCCAAAACAAAAAGAGGGAAAGAGAGAGAGAGTGTGTGTGTGTTTTTGTGTCTGTGACGCCAAAAAGGCCAATACCAGACCGTACGGATACGGTCTCTTTTAGAGAGAGAGCGAGAGAGAAGAGAGAAAGCATTAAGCTCTTCTCCGCTACTGTGAAACCGTCTCCGTTTTCTCTCCTCTTCGGTTTCACACCATCTCCACTCGATCGAGCTCTGTGATCCTTCTAGAAGGGTCTGAAATCCTGTACAGCCTTCCTTTTTTACCCTTCCCCTAGTCCCTACAGTTGCTGCAAGTGTACAGAGACCCCAGACGACACCGTTTTTTAATGGAGTTGTACGGTCGAAGCCCCGCCAGAAATGGGTCGAACCAAGAGTGGAGTCCGGGCGCCGGCGAGACTGGCCTCGAAGGTATTACTTTACTTGCGCTTCGCCTTTCCAATTTGCGTTCGTTTTGAGTTCGATTTGGGCAATTTGGTAGCGTGGGTTTTCTAGGGTTTTGTATTGTTATGGTAATGTGGGGGTGTGATTGGGGTTTTGCTGTGATTTTTGATTGAATTGTAGAACAAATGTGGCAATTGGGGCTGACGAGCAGCGAATCGTACCCGGAGCGACCCGGCGTTCCCAACTGTGTCTACTACATGCGGACCGGGTTCTGTGGATACGGTATTCGGTGCCGTTACAACCATCCTCGTGATCGTGCTGCGGTAAATCCTTGTTCATTGTAAATTTGCATTGCAATCAGTTAATGAGCTTTTTCGATACTGCTTTAATGTGGGTTTTGAATCTTGATATGTGAATGAGTCTTAAGCTTTCAGTGATAGGTGACTGCATGAGGAAATATAGGTTGTTTTGAATTTGCATGAGTTTGAGTGTTTTGGCGCTGATAGCTTGTTGACCCTTTGCCCGAAACTAGATGATTGTTTGTTTGCTGAGAAAGCTGGGGAAAAGATAATGGGGAAATTTTTGGAATGACATGTTTATTGGGTTTTATACCTAGTTAAGTACAGTCCATAATTGATGCAAATAGTATTTGTGTTCTGGGCTCAGTGGAGTGGGCGATTTTGCTTGAGTGACTAACAATAAAAACTCATTTTCTTTGCTTGGATTTTACCAATAACTGAATAGTCTTATTGGATAATTTTGTTTTCTTTTATTTATGATTTCCGTTTGATGCTGCACATAGGTTGTGGCAGCTGTAAGAGCTACAGGGGACTACCCAGAGCGAGTGGGGGAACCTATATGTCAGGTATGCAGTTGTTTTTGTGATCTTTTGTAATTTGTAGCATGAAATGCAATGTAGATCTGGAAACTTTGCTGCAATTTTGTTCTCCTGTTTATTTAATTATTTGAACTTTGAACTTCAGTATGCAATTATGGCATTTGTTTGTTTAATGTGCAGTATTATTTAAAGACTGGGACCTGTAAATTTGGTGCGTCTTGCAAGTTCCACCATCCAAAACATGGAGGTGGATCCCTGAGCCGAGCTCCCCTGAATATTTATGGATTACCATTACGACCGGTTTGAATTTCCTCTCTCTGCCTCTCTCTCATCCCATATGTGTGTGTGTGTAGAATTTTGAGAAACTTGTGGTATAAATTCCTTACAATTTGTGTTACATAACAGGGCGAGAATGAATGCTCCTACTATTTGAAAACGGGGCAATGCAAATTTGGCATAACCTGTAAATTCAATCACCCACAACCTGCTGGAACAACAATACCGGCTTCTGCACCTCAGTTTTATCCATCGGTGCAGTCTCCTTCTGTTCCTATGGCAGAGCAGTTTGGGGGGGCATCCACCGGTTTGAGGGTGCCTAGGCCTCCACTATTACCTGGTTCATATGTGCAAGGCTATGGTCCTGTCTTGATTCCTCCAGGAGTTGTTCCTATTCAGGGTTGGAGTCCTTATTCGGTATGATAAAACATATTTAGGTTTGAAATATGATTTGAATTTATCACTTTATGTAATTGGTTTACTTGGTGCAGGCACCTCTAAGCCCTGTACTGTCTCCCGGAGCCCAACCCACAGTTGGAGCAACTTCTTTATATGGAGTGACACAGTTATCTTCTCCAACACATGGACTTGCAAGACCTTATACCTCCGTACCCTCTGCTGTTGGTCCTTCTAGCAGCAGCCCGAGTGAACAAGTTTTCCCAGAGAGGCCTGGCGAACCTGAATGCCAGTACTATCTGAAAACTGGGGACTGTAAATATGGACCATCTTGTAGATATCATCATCCTCGGGATAGGGTCGTACCAAGGACAAATTGTCTCCTTAGTCCAATTGGTCTTCCACTTCGTCCGGTATGCAAAGTTGTTTTCTGTTTATTCTTTTGAATCTTTAATTTTTAAATTTCCACTATTAAAAGTTATTGAATACTTGCTGACTCGGTTATCCAATTTTATATACTCTTCTTACCCTTGTTTAAACAGTAAGTTTGTTGTAAAAGAAGGGGTAGGTGTAACATTTAGAATCATACATAGTTGACTTCCCTTGTACAACCATATTCATACAATTGAGTAGCCAAGACAGGCTGTCTTGCTATGTATTGTTTTTTTTCTTCCTTAAAGTACAATAGGTTATGTAAAAAGGTTTTGATTTCAGAGGGTTCTGCAGTTTTAGTTAGGGGTGTTCGTTTTCCTTGTTCTCTTTAGCGGTCTTCTTTTATAAATGATTTGTTTTGTACAGTAATCTTTACGATTGTGTTCTGATGTAGTTTATGCTCGATTTTGGATTAATCTGATTGGTAATTGGTGTAATTTTAATGTAATATTCTTCTTTCATTAATTACCTTGTTTCAGATCAGATCTATTCTTCCCTTTCATGCCTTTGCTTTTTTGATCCTCTTGAGTATTACTCATTCCTATTTAGATTTCTTTAATGTTGGGAATGCAGTGCTGAAAAGGTGATTGTGATATTGTTTCGGACTTTTTATGTTTAATTCATTTCATAATGTCAAAAACAGGGAGTGCAACCTTGTACATTCTACCTGCAAAATGGTCACTGCAAGTTTGGATCTACATGCAAGTTCGATCATCCAATAGGGACCATGAGGTACAATCCCTCAGCTTCATCTCTGGTTGATATGCCAGTTACTCCATACCCAGTTGGGTCTTTGCTGGCTACCCTGGCTCCTTCATCCTCGTCAACTGACCTTCGGCCGGAATTAATTTCAACTTCCAAAAAAGATAGTTATTCAACTAGAGTGCCTTCTTCTGGGAACACCTCAAGCAGTTCAGTTGGATTGATTTTTACTCAGAGTGGATCGGTTTCAATATCTGATGTGCAACACTCCAGTCAGACTTCTGTCCCTTTAAGCAGTAGCAGAAGCACAAGACAAGGTGGTGAGGTTCGTCGTTCAAGTTAAATGAAATACCCAAAAATGACTCTTTCATTATCTCAGGAGGGGTGCAGTTTCACCAACATCCTCGTTTTGTTTATATAGAAGTCAGTTAAGTAAATGTGTAATGGTCAATTGTGCAAAGGTTTCACATTTCTCAGTTATGGTCGGTCGGTCAGTCGTATCAACCAAATCTGTTTTTCCCACAGTAGTAGGACAGACATTGTTGATGCTTGTGTCATTTATATACAGCAATCAATATAAATCCCAAATAAGCTGCAATGCTCAAATTCCTCCCATATCTACTTTTCATCTCTTTCAAGTAATTACCATTACCATTACCATAGCAAGCAAGCAATTTTCCCTTCCACTAAAAGGCACAGCAGTTGTGTTGCTCAATTACTATCAGGGTCTCTTTCTTAACACAAATGAAAGGGAACCATCATAGTCAATTTTGCCCATACTTGTTTTTGTCCTCTAGTAGGGTAAAAAGGACAGTACACATGTTTTGCCTTATTCTCTCATATTCGCCTTGCCTCGAGGTCGTTTGTCGTTTCCGGAAATATTTGCCAAGTGGGGTCTCGGAACCTATACTTTTGGATGCTGACACGTATTGCCCGTTACACGTACGCACCTACTCTCTGATTCTGTCAGACTCACAGTTTCGTTCTTCTTGTTCAGTTGAGCTCTTCTCTCATTAGCACCGGACGAACCCCTTTGCTTTGCTGCTCTTGTCTCAATTTCTCTCAAACTCAGGCTAAAAACCTACCACTTTCAACAAAGTAGCAAACAATTTCACTTTAGCCTCTTTAGGGTCATGCTTGGTGAAGAAAATGACTCCAGCCCTTTAAAAGCATAAACAAAAAAACTACAATGGGCTCAAGTGGTTAAACGCATTTACTCCTGCAACCGAGCTCATGCGTTGGATTCTATATAAAAAGAACAAAAGTGTCCCTTTGACCAATGGCTGGCTGCCATAATCCTAAGAAATCACACCCACATTAGCCATAAGTGTTCTTGAAAGGAAAAAAAGTTCTAGTATCATGCGACTTTCTATGTTGGTCACCGCCCCAAATAATTGAAGGAAAGGCCCATATCTACAACTCCTGAACTTGGCTTAAAATAGTTAATAACTCAACTCAAGCAGCGTCATGATCCACCTAGTCACACGTTCGACAATTACATTCGCATGCTTGCTTTCAAATACATTCACACACCATCATTTTCCACAACTAAAATAATGGGCTTAGATTATTATTATTATTACTTTTTATAATAAAAAATTGTATTCTTAAAATAATCAGTGGCTCACCCACCCCTTTTCCTCACCTGCTCTAATGATTCAATTCAAGCTCATTTTTCACCCTCATGGCTAACAAACAGAAAGACATCATTTTGCCACTGCTGTCCTTTTTTCTTTTTTTACCCTCTATTCCATCTTCACATTCTTCACATCGAGAAATACTTGCGTGCAACGAGAATAACACTGTTTTGTTATTTCCAATCAATCATGCTATGTCATGCATAATAAATTTTTTATTTGACATAGTTTAGTTGACTGCAAATAACAAAACAATGTTATTCCCATTTGATATAAAAAATTTCTGCTTCCCATATGAGGATCCAAGCTCTTCAATTTGACATTAAATAAAGGCACATTTCTTGAATTACATAGTTCATAAGATTTGTGTAAAATAAGTTAAATTAAGGAATAAAGATTCCCAATGCATAACTTTATTACCTAGGTGGGGTCCACTTACAAAGCCAAAAGACCAAAAGGTGCAAACTTGATTTGATGAGGCAGCTCTGCAGTGGCAATTTCAATTTGCTATAAACTTTAACTATATGCCATTTTTATATGGGACAAGTTCCATAACTTCAACAAATAATTGACTCTTCTTCAAGCGCGAGTGCCCTTCATTATAATAGAGAGAAGACGGAGGCACCACCAACAACAGCTTTGACTTCTTGTTGATACAATTTTATTTTCATAAATTTAAACCAATTTTTTCACAACCTTTTCAAGAAAGATAAAATAGGTAAGTCAGAAAGTTGATTATATTGTATGTTTTGGTCAGACAATTTTGTTTGTTTATCTATTTAAGTTGTTACAATCGATAAAGAAAATATGATTTTCACACTCAGTTTAGACAGACTTCAATAAAGAACAAATGAGTCCAAACCTGATTTTCAATAAATTATTCTTCTTGTCTGGCACAGACTCTACAGAACAGATTGCCATCTAGCAGCAAGCAAGAAGCTCCGTTGGGATCTCACTCTGTCGCTCAGTCACTCAGTCACTCATGATTTGATGCATTGTTTGTGCCTAAATTTCTACTAATATGAAGACCCAATTAAAGCATAATTGGCTGGCTGGAAGCAATCAGTGCGCCCAGCAGCAGGGCACTCTGATTCTTCTTCTTCGCCTAATGCCTCTGTAACTGTTCACAAATCACAAAGAAAGAAGTAAAAGACCCAATATATATATATATATTTTTTTGAAGTTTGGAAAGCGCCAGAGCTGATGGTTTATTATTTGGCAGCTTTGTGAACAGCCAATTTTAAATGTTGTTCACCCACCGGTCATCCAGCAACACAAAAGAAAAAGATTGATGGGGTTATCATTGTCACCTGATATATGCAATCTTAGGCCATGATGAGCCCAACAGAGTAACACTAAGAGCACTCAGTCAGCACATTAATGTATTTTGCGTAACTAAAACTTAATACATGTGTACTTGGAAAGGTAATGTGTCATTATATAATCCTAGGTTAGTTTTTTGTTCCATGCTGTCGAAATCGTAGTGACCGTGAGCCTGTGCATTCCTTGAATCCCCCATTCTATGTTCATGGTGAAAAAAGAAAAGAAAAGCACTTGCGGTAAACTTGTTTCTAAGAGTGATATTGGACATTACACTATAATTTTCTATGATAAATATATTTTAAGTGGAAGTTTTGTGGTTCTCATAATAACATGTAATCCCACTCATCCTTTTTAATTTCTACTTTAGTGAGCTTTACACATAATAGAGACTTAATTTAAGCAAAAGCTATTTTATGCTCGGTGGGTTGCTTTCAATGGCCATGATTACAACCCCCAAAAGCACTGCAACCCCTCAGGAATCCTGCAATTCCTCACAAACAAAAACCATGTAAAAGAAAGGTCACTTCCTCTCCCTCACTACCTTTCACCGAAAAGTTCAAGTGCAGCTACAATTCCTTGACTTTTACATATTAAACTCATTATCAACACTCATTAAAAGTATTTGTGTTTCAAAGTCATCATCAACCCCTTTGTTCCTGCATGGATTCATGTGACTTTCTCTTCACTCCAGCATTCTCTTCCCTCTCACACACATGACAAAAGAGAGAGACACAGAGAGAAAACAATCAAACCATCTGTCAGAAAACTGAATGATTTGTTATGCAACTGAAAATTCACTTTGAGTTGGGTTTTTAGTGGGCGCTAGTTATATTGTTGAAAGAGTGACACTTTTGAACTTTGGTAGTGGGATTGGTGTTGCAGAATTTTCAGTGGGAATTTTGAACACTAGGTGTTTGAGGAAAGATGGGTGTTGTCACCATTGGTGAACTGAAGCCTAGCATTTCAGGGAAGCGGTCGTTTCGTCCAAGTTCCAGTATCAGGCATGCCACAGAATGGTAATGTTCTCCTTCTCTGCTAGCTTTTGATTAGTTACCTGCATTTAGTTTGCTAGTTGCAAGAGTTAAAACTCATACACACAAAATACACCAGAAAGTTTGTGTCTTTGAATTTCAGCCTCATTTTCTCTAGCTACTCGCCTCATGGTAGTTTAGTTTCCACCTACCAAAAGGCATTTAACTTTGGTGCCCCAGAGTTCATTTGTTGCAACTTTTTTTGGGATTTAATTTGTCCAAGACAGAGCCTGGGTTTCTCATCTACAAATCAACCTAAGCTGAGCTACTGAGGTCCCCCCAAATTTTATGGAAGAAAACATCTCATGGCCATGAACCCTGTGACCTTCTACCTGACACTACCAAATCAAAACGACAGTGGCATGAGGTCCAGGCGAATTGCTATCCACATGCTGCTATGTTTCACTGTCAACATTTTGAAGTGCCAACTGCCAAACGCAGTTAATGCCTTCTTGCATATCAATTATTTTTGCGCCTTAGTCATCTGTAGGCCCTCTAGGCTAAAACATGTACGGACAAGTTGTACATTTGGTCACCGAGTATGACAAATCTTCTAGCTTTACATGGAGTAACAACAAGCAAATCCACACCCTGCTAGCTTGTTAATCTTAAGGGACCCCACATGGTGCCCCTGTATTTTTGTAAGGCCGGTGAATTTGGCCAATTTGGTTCAATTTCAGGAGCACAGCAAGTTCTTCAAACTTTAAATCAACTTTTTAGTCCTTTGGCATATCTGGCCTTACTGCCTGTGCAAACTGCAATCCACTCATTTTGAAATTATTGAGTCGTCCCTATCGAATAATTAGTCGCTAGGGAGGATCACTCTGTCCATATGTTTGAGATGTTCCACTGTTCCTAGGTTGAACACAAATTGTGTAGTGTTTTTTCATGGAAATATATAGAAGAAGCTACCGCAAAGTTTCTGACATGTTGGTACCTATCACCATGTATGCATGCAATTCTAAATTGTAACTTGGTTTTTGGTTTTCTTGTCTCTCTTCAATTCCCTTTTAATAAAGTTTCCATTTTGCAGGCCAATCTCTGATGTTTCCAGCGATCTTACTGTGGAAATAGGAGCTTCAAGCTTTGCACTTCACAAGGTAAGGAAAATCGGTTCAGCACTAGTAACGCTATTATTCAATCAACTTCTAGCTTGTTATAGATCAATATCATGTGACAACTAAATGAACAGTCCATCGAATTATGAAATAGTACTAATAATGATCTGGACATTAATAAGAAAAGAAAGATAATTAGTAATGTGATGGTGACTATTTTGCAGTTCCCTCTAGTTTCTCGGAGTGGAAGGATTCGGAAACTGTTGCTTGAAGCAAAAGATTCGAAAGTATCACGCATAATTCTATCTTCTGTTCCCGGTGGACCGGAGGCATTTGAGCTAGCTGCAAAATTCTGCTATGGAATTAATGTTGAGATTACACAATCAAATGTTGCCATGCTCCGTTCTGTATCCCACTTCCTGGAAATGACAGAAGAGTATGCTGAGAAAAACCTAGAAACCAGAACTGAAGCTTATCTGAAGGAGATGGTGTTCCCAAACATATCAAAATCAATATCAGTTCTTCATCGTTGTGAGACCCTCTTGCCAACAGCAGAAGAAACCAACCTGGTTAGCAGGCTTATCAATGCAATTGCAAATAATGCATGCAAAGAGCAGCTCACCTCTGGCTTATTGAAACTTGACCACAACTTTCCTACAAAAGCAGCTCCAATTATGGAACCTGAAACACCTTCAGATTGGTGGGGGAAAGCGCTTACAGTGCTTAGTCTTGACTTCTTCCAACGGGTTCTATCTGCAGTGAAAACCAAGGGTCTTAAACAGGATATGATAAGCAAAATTTTGATCAATTATGCCCATAATTCTCTTCAAGGTCTTGTTGTCAGGGATGCCCAATTGGTAAAAGGAAGTCTCTTGGATCTGGAATTGCAAAAGAAACAAAGGGTCATTGTTGAAGCTATAGTTAGTTTGCTCCCCACACAATCAAGGAAGAGTCCAGTTCCAATGGCATTTCTTTCGAGTTTGTTGAAAACTGCAATTGCAGCATCAGCATCCACTTCTTGCAGATCTGATTTAGAGAGGCGGATTGGTTTGCAACTGGATCAGGCAATTCTTGAAGACATCTTAATTCCTGCAAATTCACATGGGAACAACCACAGCACAATCTATGACACAGATGCTATATTGAGGATCTTTTCAATATTTTTGAACTTGGATGAGGATGATGAGGAAGATAATCACTTGAGGGATGAAAGTGAGATGGTTTATGACTTTGACAGCCCTGGATCTCCAAAGCAAAGCTCAATCCTGAAGGTGTCAAAGTTACTGGACAATTATCTTGCAGAAGTTGCACTGGACTCAAACTTGATGCCATCAAGGTTCATAGCACTAGCAGAACTACTTCCAGACCACGCTCGGATAGTGAGTGATGGACTCTACAGAGCTGTGGATATTTTCCTCAAAGTGAGAGTCTCTCTCTCTCTCTCTCCATGTGTTTAAGTCCTAAGCAACTCACCTTTGATTTACACTTTGTCTATATTCTGCATTTTCTTTGTTTCTTTCCAAGATGTTGAGTACCAATGTGCATTTGCATCTATTTATAGGTTCATCCAAACATCAAGGACTCTGAACGGTACCGGCTGTGCAAAACCATTGACTGCCAGAAACTCTCCCAAGAAGCCTGCAGTCATGCAGCACAGAATGAAAGGCTACCAGTACAGATGGCAGTGCAGGTACTCTACTTTGAGCAAATCAGGCTGAGGAATGCAATGAATGGTGGCCACAATCAGTTCTTCTTTGGGGCAATAAATGGAACCCAATTCCCTCAAAGATCAAGCAGTGGTGCTGGCAGTGGAGCCATCTCCCCAAGAGACAACTATGCATCAGTCAGAAGAGAGAACAGAGAGCTGAAGCTTGAAGTTGCAAGAATGAGAATGAGGCTAACAGACTTGGAAAAAGATCACGTGTCTATGAAACAGGAGCTTGTAAAGTCTCATCCTGCAAACAAGCTATTCAAATCATTCACCAAAAAGTTGGGGAAGCTCAATGCATTGTTCAAGATCAATAGCATTAAGCCCCTAGGGGGCAAGGCAAGCTCAGAGTCCAGATTTCCATTTCAGAAGCGAAGGCGTCATTCGGTTTCATGACTATCTAGGAGTGTGAATATATACAAGTACAAGAGTGTATAGTATTATTTCTGTATTGTATTAGTATAATTATAAATTTACAACTCATAAAACTAGTGTGGTGGCTTCTAATCTCAGTTTGACAGTTTTTGAGTGTACGTACTTGAGAGAGATTCTATTTATTTGTTATATAACTTGTGTTCTTGAGATCAAATCCCTCCACTTTTTTGATCAATAATAATATGAATGCTTATATGTTTGTTTGAGACAAAACGATTAGATTATGTCATGTTTGATGTTGGACAGCTATATCTATATGTGGTAAGCTTGGGTTTGGTTTGTCAATGTCAATGTCATTTTATGAACCCTTCTTTTTGACTGAGACCAAGTTCAAGATTAGTGATATAGTTTGGGATCCAGGTACATTCCCTTTCAGATACTAACCAAAGCATATTAATGTCAATGTCAATGTCATTTTATGAACCCTTCTTTTTATGGGATGAGGTTTTAATTTGGCCAAGCAGATTAATGTCAAATTAGGCAAAAGGACCGACATTATTAACACCAAACCGGTCAAATTCAAATCACATCAACCAAAATATAAATTCAAGCAATATAGGGGGACCAAAATGGTATTTTAACTCTTTCATATTAATATAAATATGGAGTGGAAAGCAACCCTAACAAGTTGACTCTGTGGCCCAATGGATAAGGCGCTGGTCTACGGAACCAGAGATTCTGGGTTCGATCCCCAGCAGAGTCGCTAATCTGTTTATTTTTTTTATTTGCTAATTTGCCACTTCGCGCGTTTTCAAGAAGCTTCGGAATGACGTCGTTTTTAGTATCTTGATGAAAAGGGTCTCTCTGCTTGCAACCGTCGTACAGCAGAAACGGCGCGTCTTTGAGGTGGGAGAGAGCGAGAGAGAAAGAGATGAGCAGGTCATTGCCCTTTTCCAGGCTCTTCAGGTACCTCCTCACAATAAGTTTTAGGGTTCCTTCCTTTCAATTTTAGGGTTTTCAAATGATGCCGAGAAAATTGTTGATAAATAGAAAGTGATTCTAGAACCTACTGGGTTTGATTTAGTAAGCTTTCTCTATAATTAACCCGAATTTATTTCCTTTCTGTTTAGTTCAAATTGGAAATGCTATAAAGCTTTTGAATTTAATTCTGTCTGTTTGGGTTCGGTTTCTGTAAATCACAGGCTTATTAGGATATATGATCTATTTATATTCTGAGAAGACCCAGATGGGCATTGGCCATAGTTGTTTGATAAAATTTATTTTCTGTTATACAATGGATAGTTCTTGTATGCCTCATTCACTGCATATAAGTTGCTCGATAAGAGTAGAGTTGCTAGCTGGGATTTTTATGTGAATGGGAAAAGAAAGAACTTGTGCATTTTGGGGTGGATTGCTTTGGCATCATGTTTCGTATATCGAAACTGAGTTCATCTTGCTGCCCCCTTACCCTTCATCATGTGTAGTTGTATGGGTTGAATTTATGTATCTATCTGATGTCTGTGTTTCAAATGATTGCCCTAAAAATTATGCATCACTGACAATGGATTGATGTTTCTGCTTTGTTTTCAGTTGCATACTTGATGTTCCTATATACTTTTGCAAGTTTTTATCTTTTTTGTTATCTTTTGCATTCAATTGGGATTATTTCCTATTTCTTGTTGCATAGGCAGCTGGAGCAAGAGATGGAAACTGTGGTAAAGGTACTGCAGCCTGGACCTTTAGGAATCATAGAGCACAAGTTCTCTGCTGAGGAGATACGCAAGGCAAATGCTACAGTTGAGAGGGCTGTAGAAACTTGGCGGCAGAATGCAATCCGAGAGCAGAGGAATCCACTCTTGAAAGATTATATTCATAAGTGAAGGATCTGCTCAAGCTAACCTTCATGGGAGATGGAGCAATCGAACTTTGTTGAATACAAATGTGCAGTTCATGTATTCATTTCACAGTTTTTTTTTTTTTTTTTTTTTTTTTTTTTTTTTGTAAGGATATAAAGAATTTTTTATTTTTTTTTTTGTGTTGTGATATGAAGGAAGAAATGCTTAATTTCGTTTAGTCTCAATAATTACGACTCATTTGGGAAGTATACATATGTCCTATCTTTCACTGAAGATGATAAACTGCGGAGACGTTGTGTTGACATTGATAAGGAAATAAAACTGCTTCCTTATGAAAACAGCAATGGAGGTGCTGAACCAGTGCCCTTTCAATAGTCTGCCCATTTAGAAGTTCATCCAGCTCGTACACTGTAGGGTTTGCCCCATAACTCGATATCAGTGACTTGATGGTGTGGCTCATGTAGCTAGAGCTCTTGCCGAAGACTTATCGTATCCATTAACGCTTAGTGCCTGGAACGATGGGGATTAAAAGCGTCGTGAATTGTTTGTGAAGTGAAATTAGTGGAGATTGCTTGCTTGCTAATAGCTATGTAGCTTGTCGCTGTGAGGAGCGCTCGTGTTGGTCTCTTTATATTGTGCATGTGTTGCATTGTAACGAATAAAATATTAGATCACCAGAAAAAGTCATCGATCGGATTCTCAGATTATCACCCTTTAAGCATGATTAGTTGATAAGACGTACCAACTTTGCTCTCTGAAAATTGTTAGCCGCAAAATATTTATGACATAGGCTTTAATTCATGGGGTCTAAGCAATTGTCAACTCAATGTATGACTTCAATACAAAGAGTCGTTCTATGATGAGGGTGCAATATATGAATCATAAATGTTGACCTTCATATTAGCCGTAGGATTCATTTGAATAGTAACTTCACTTAAGTTTAATGAAATGATCTTGTGACTAATATGATTGTCCACATAAAGAGTTCATATATGGCCTCCTCACTATAGAATTTCGCTATATATAGACTAATAAGGGTAATAATTTTGGCACTTTTCTTTTGGATCAGTACATGAGGTTGTTCAATCTTGTAAGTTTATTGTAATATTTTCTTGGGCCTGATTTTGTGCATGTCAAAATGTGGCTCACGCTCATATTATTAAATCATGGGCCTGGTTGGGGCTTTAACTTATTTACTAGAAAAAGGCAAATTCTTTCTTAGTCCAAATGTATGCATCAAACCAAGGTGGTTGGTATGAGTGGTTCGGCACTCTCATTCCTTAAGAGAGGTCAGGGGTTCGATCCCTGCTCTTGTATGGAGTCACCACTTTGCCCAGCACTTTACCCCTTACGGGCCGACCCGGTGTGAGTGGGGATTAGTCTGAGTTGTGGTTAAGGCTTAAAGGTGCCACCCATAGTGCCCATCCAGGACCACCTCGTGGTTCAGACCCAAAAAAAAAATGTATGCATCACATACAATGGAGTGATGTTTCTGCTTTGTATCCAGTTTGCATACTTGATGTTCCTTTTGACTTTTGCAAGTTACTTTTTTATTTTATTTTTTGTATTCCAATTAGAATTACTTTCCTGTTTCTTGGAGCATCTGCGCAAGCTAACTTTCATGGTAATGGAGCAATCAAGCTTTGTTGAATACATGAACTTCTCCATTCCTTGGCAGAACGGCATTTTCATACATGTGCTACAGCTTGTGGGGGAATGTCAACTTCAGTGGATATATTTTTCAGAACCAGAATAAAGTAAAGCAAAACGCAAGATCGATTCGTGGCATCCTAACCATTTTCTTCTTCATTGATTTTCTTTGAGCTTGATGCAAGTTCAGCATTCACAGTGTTTCATAGTTCTGTGAATTATAAATAGTCTTAATTAATCACAGTTATAGACAGATCAACCATTGCAGTTCAACTCTCTGCCTTTATTGGACATACATAATATAATTAAGGGAGATTACATGAACTGAAAACATATAAATAATAAGCTCATCCTCTTCAACCTAGACCAAGAGGAAACTAACTTCAGCCTTGCCCAGTCAAGAAGAAACTAAAGAGTAAACAAAGCTAGGAGGGAACAGAAAAAACTGTTATTTGAGCTTTGTTAATTAGTGGACGTACGCAGGTACGTCTTGAAATTATTATTATTATTATTATTATTATTATTATTATTATTATTATTATATATAAGATTATAATAATATAATGTGTATTATATTAATTGTAGATAGATGAGGAATTTGTAGGAAAATGTTATTCAGGTTCTGTTCCAAACCCAAATAGCGTTGGCCCTTATGAGCCGTGGGACAAGCTGGTTTTGGACTTGGAGGCTCATGACCTGATCAGCTCCACCAATAAACTGCTGCCCTATGAAAACAGCCGGCACACTTGGTTGGCATTGGAAGTGCTGAACCAGTGCCCTTTCAATAGCCTGCCCATTTGCAACTTCATCCAGCTCGTATACTGTAGGGTTTGCCCCATAGCTACGTATCAGTGACTTGATGGTGTGGCTCATGCAGCTAGAGGTCCTGCTGAAGATCACCACCGGCCTTTCGGCCACCATGCTCGTTATCGTATCCATGAATGCTGGTCGGAGCCTGGAACAATGCGGATTAAAAGCGTTGTGAATTGTGAATTTAGTGGAGCTTGCTTGCTAATAGCTAGGTATAGCTTGTTGCTGTGAGGAACTTAGATCTCTCATGTCGGTCTCTTTATAGTGTGCATGTGTTGCATTGTAACGAATAAAATATTAGATCACCACAAAAAGTCATCGATCGGATTCTCATATCATCACGCTTTATCTTTAAGCATGATTAGTCGATAAAGACAGACCAACTTTGGCTCTCTCTGCAAATTGTTAGCTGCAAAATATAACCAAACCGATTTTGGCACTCTTTCTTTAGTTATATGCACTTCAAACAGAATATTTTACAATTCACGTGAGGACTGCAAATAGCGCTAAGTGTTAAAATCACTGGCCTTAAATAAAGCTGAGCTGTGATTGGAGGATGTCACTGTAGACCCAAAGGATTGGCATATTCACCACCTGCAGGTAGAAACAGTGGAAATGATGCCAATATATTTTAGACATATATAAATAAGAAAACACCTGCTAATTGTTGAGAGTGTTTGTCTCACATTGAAAAGTTAAGGGACATAGAGCTTGGGTTCATAAGGAGTTGGGCTATTCCCTCATCGCCAATTGATTTTGTGATGGAATTTCAACTTTCTTCATGGCATCAAAGCAAAGCTTCATGCGTTGGGCCCAACGGCCACACTTACTATCACGTCACAGAATATGTGTTAACCACTTGTTAGGTTTGAAAGTTCGCCATACGTACGGAGGCGTGTTGAGAGTGTTTGGGAGCATCTGCTCTATATTCTGCTAAGGTGGAGACAGAAGATGAGTTTATCCAAAGGGGGCAAAGATTCCCATCCACTTCAGTTGAAGCAAACCCAAAGCAATCTATTGGAGAGAGAGCTAGAGACAAAGTAAAATATATTTTGGATGGATAAAATATATGCTTAAGAAAGATTGTCTGCCCTCTACTAATCCACGTGATTACCGTACAAGTATGAGAAGATACCTCAAGGACCCACCCCACCTCTTTATCAACAATGATAGAATTGACAATATTCTGTGTAAATCGTAGCTAGAATTAGTAAATTAGTATATGGTTTTTGATTCAACTAATTATTAGTTTAGTGATATTTCTCTTCAAAATATTCAAACTTCCGAACGTATAGTCGGTAGCTATCATTATTATGCCCACAAATTCTGACCATTGAATATTGACCAAAAGGATTGGAATGTGGCTAGATAGCTAGGATTTTGATATTTTGGTCATTAAGGACAAACAAACAAGGATCATTAACCCTTATAATTAAATTATAGGGTTTAGTACATGTAGTCAATCCCTAACCATTGATTAGTTTCCCGTGAAGACCTTTGGACCTTTTGTAGAACAGTCCAATGAACAGAAGCTAAATCTAAAATAAAATAAAATAAAATAAAACTTTGAGGATCGATTCTTATTGCAAATGTCACTTAATTATATTAGTATATATATATATACATACATAGGCCAGTCGCATTCGTAGGTAGGAAACTATAGTTCAAGTGATTTGCTGTCAATATCATAAGTTGCTGCCAGTGATGGATATGGATAAGAAATTCCTTATACGTACAAGTTCAGATTTTTTAATTATTCCCGATGTCAACATTTAAATAATCAGTTATTACTTATAGTTCATTATCAACAGTCAATGTAGAATTGATTTTGTTTGATCTTGATTCTGATTGATTTGGAATTCAAGAGCATATGTCCATGCTTGCATGTGAATGAAAGAAAAGGACTAGCTAAGTTTTCTAAAGCTCTGCAGGCCGCCCTTCAGATAATATATATATATGTTTTTTTTTTAAAGTTTGATTTGTCTGCAGGTACGATTTTAGATGAACCACAACATCATGATGATGAACCTGATACTGAGCTCATTTTGCAGTGATTAATTAAGTAATCAAATCATCATATATATTCTTGCTTTCTAATCTACGTACTAATTAATATTCTTGTGATTTTGAGAGGCATACTATGCATCAATATTATTGACTATCAAACGAGTTCTTAATTTACGTACTAAAAGAAAATGTTGGTCAGTAAACTTCTACTTAGGGCCTGTTTGATTTCTTTTTGCAAAAATTTAGTGATCAACATTTTGTATAGAAAGCTTTTGCCGGAGAATAAGCTTAAGCTAGCTCCATTTTAAATTCATATGGTGCATGGGTTCGTATCTCAATAAAATGATAGATATATAGAATGTCGATTCTCTTTGGATAAGTGGGGACTGTATCTATATTTTTGTGGATAAAATATGTGTAGAGAAAAACATATACATAGATATATATATATATATATAAGATTGCAAGGTCGACGGTTCCTGGCATCACACAAACGTTCTGAGATTGCAGCCTATAAAACTAAAACTTATACATCTCGATTTATTAGGTTCACATTTAAATAATATTCCATGAGGTGGAAAATCTTTTCTTCTTTTGGTTAGTCCAACAGAATGAAAATCTATCTTGTTTTTAGCAACACACTAGCTATCAAAGTTTAGGAAAATTCCAAAGGTGGATGGAGAGCATCTTTGTACGCGTAAAGCTTTAGTAAGTTGTTCTTTTCGTCTTTCGCTTGTCATCACGTGGTTTGCTATTCCATATTTTCTTGTCCTTCTCGCGTGGGGCCTCTCACTTGCAACTTGCAACACTTGTTTATCAGATTATTGAGAAATTTCCGTGTATTACTCGAATATAAGTAGATATTTGTTATAGTGTATGTTTAGACCTCAAATTTCATGTGCTCAACGTATGAAATACAAGTGCTTTTACTTGAAATGAAGAGGAAATTTGGTTCTTCAAGCCGGTCACCTCGACTCGGAGCCGAGCCGTTTATGTCACATCAAGCCGTCCCGTCATGTGGTGGATGGTCAGGGTTCTTCCATGTCCTCTTCTCATGATAGCTTTACGCGTTTTATTAAGGGGCGAAAGTGAACATAGTAGCCTGTTACGAACGACCGAAGTCCCATTTGGTCAGAGGACGGGTTAGGTGGTTTACACGTGGTATCTGAGAGGACATGAGCAGTGTTTCAAGAGGCGGTGAATCCTCCTTTGTCAGGGAAGGTCTTGTCGTTGACGTGGTTGACTAGTAGCCTTTCGCCATGTTTTCCTGAATGGTATGGAGGATGAAGTGGTGTGGTTGGGAACCGAGCCGACATGCATGGTTGGGAGTTAGAGGGGATTGGATGGTCACTTTTTCCACGTGGCTAGTGAGGTCCATGTGTCCTGTTCTAATTGGGCAAACGAACTTAGTTTATACCAAGCATCAACAATGTAACACAAATATAAACTCGTTACCTAACCATATTATAACATGTAAAAACATAGTCGTATTACATGATCATATTGTATATTGGTACCATTGTGGGCTTTACTTATGTTATATGAACATAGTGTATAAATATGATCAACTGGTATTGTACAAGTAGTTTTATTTTGTGGAGCTGAAACCTCAAACATTCTGAAATCACATGTCAACTATTTGATTTTACATTGTTCTTTTACTCTATGTCATCACATAAGGCGAATATGTGTGTGTTGATAAGGAGAGTTGTAGACTCATACATTCTATTCTATACCAAACTCTCACACGATCAAGCTCAAGTGTAGGGATTAATTTACTTACTTGTAATGTTTTATTTTATTTTGAATACAAGTCATAGTCCAAATTATAAAAGGGAGGGAGTTTCTCACACACTATATACCAAGGTGTCAAGGAAGTTTGAACTAGAGACCACGGATCTCCAAATCAAGGCCATTTTCCACTAGGGGTAGACCCCATTGGCTTACTTACATGTCAGTTATATAGATAATCGTATGTATCCAATCTTTACATTACTTATGGTTTATATATTCGATGAAGCCTCTGTAAATACATCTACATATACATATATATAAATATAATCCATCAAAAACATGACCATACGTACATAGTTCTCATTTAGTTAGTGACACAATGAGATATAAGGAATAGGGAGATCAAACGATAACCCTACAAGTAACAATGTCGGATTCCACCAACAAACTGGAATCCACCAGAGAAATTGAGTAAACCTCAAATATATTGATTGAAAATAAGATGAATAAACTGACTAATACAACGCCATGAGTTAGGTTCTATAATATTCCTAATCGATAACTTATTCTTCAAAATATAAAATTAAACATTAAATTAAATACAAATCTTGATAAAATCTTAATTGCTTCGAACTTCCTCAATCAATTAGAAAATCTCAACAATACGCCTTCCTTCTTTTCCTAGCGCCATAATTGACAATTAATTGGAATTTCCCTCTATTGCACAATTTCCTTCCAACTTTGAACCACTTTATTTTAATTAATTTTTCACACCATAATTAACTCATATTTCGTCCTACATCAGTTAGTAACTGATGCAAATCGAAGTACAAAAAGATGGACCGAGCCTGCTATATTGGATAGAGGCCGGCCATTTTATCAATACATCTGCTGGGTATGCATAGTAAGTCTATGCTACTAATCATCATCGATCGTTCCAAATCCAAATAGCTTTAGCTCTCATCAGCAAAGGAACAAGCCTGTTCTGTACATGGAGACTCATGACTGTGTTCGTACCTCCCACCAACTCTTGGCCTATGAACACAGCTGGTACACTTGGCCTGCAACCCCGCTGCAGCAGCGCCCTTTCGATTTGCTGCCCGTTCGGCATTTGATCCAGCTCGTAAACTGTAGGGTTTGCCCCAAACCCACGTAGGAATGACTTTGTTGAGTGACTCATGCAACATGAACTCTTGCTGAAGATCACCAATGGCTTCTCATCCACCAATCCTGCCACCATGTCCATCTCTCTTCGATCGCTTCGATCTCTTGCTACCTGCCTTTTTAATTGGAAAATTGACTTGAGGGTTTTGCTTGATGAGGAACTTGAGATCCATTATGGGTCTATTTATACTGGTCATATCGTTGTTCAGTGCGGTGGGGAATTGTAATGTTTAAAACTCTGATCGACATATAGAATATAGAAGCTTAAAGCTAGCTAGTGATTATGTAATACCATTCCCAAATTACCCTTTATGCATGCATGATTTACTTGGTTCTGTGCAGGACACGATCAATGTTTATATGAAATTGGGTGTGTGTTCATGCATATATGTATCTGCCCAGCATTTTGGCAAGGTTGAGGTGAAACTTGTCATTTTGAAAGGGCCATGCATATGGAAAGTCGCATGTACATATACTTACATGCAAATTGTGACAGCATTGTGGGATCTCTGAGTTCCCAAGTTACCCTTAACGTACCAAACAATCTATAGCGCCGCAATATATACATTGTCCTTTGCAAGCACCAGATTCATGTTTTGCATGCACATTTTATCCCTAACCTCAAATTAATATTTATTCCAAAAATAAACTTAATTACTGGCTAAGGTTTAGTTTGAGTTTGTAAGTAATTAATGTCAATGTGTGCAAGGGGTTTATTTTGTTTTTAGTACAAGCGGTAGTCTAAACTACATGGGAGGAGGATTTCTTACACACATTCAAAACTATGGGGTTCAAACCTGAGACCTCTTGTCTGCAAGTCAAGGCCCTTTTCCACTGGCGGGGTTTATTTTGTTATTGTTATTGCTAAGATATATATGAACGCAACGCAAGGGTTTAGTTAATTAAGTGAAAGTAAGCTAAAGGGTGTGTTGGTATTTGTCAATTACAACCCAGGTCTCATCATCTATTCTGGAGCATCTAGGTATAGTTATAGTGGAGAAGGAGTTGGGTCTATCGAATGAGTAGGATAACAAGATTCGCGTACGCCCGCTTCAAGTTCAATTGAAGAGATCCGAAAGCGTGAATATAAAGTCAAGAGAAAGGGAAGAAACAATAATTTTCGTACATACATAGTTAAGATTCTGATTAAAGGTAAGTTAACAGTTAACTTGCCCCTTGGCAGCATGAAAATCCACCCAAGAATAAAACATTAAAAAGAAACTAAGATCCAAATTATTCAGGTCCAACTTGAACTTGCTAGGCTATGTATCAAGATTTCAATGGTTTCTTTTGGAACAATAATATTAGATATATATCCATATATGTCATTAATCATCTTGGTTCCAATTCGATTCGATCTATATAAAAAAACCAATTATCTCGTGTGCCAATTACATTAAATATGTTTGGGCCCGGTTTGATTAGAGGAGCATGAGGTTCCAAAAGAAGATTGCTTTCACAAAAGCTCTTTCCTTAGCTATATATGGATATTATTTCTTCTGCAACTAGCCAGTTACACACTGACAAAACAATTGCCCAGAAAAGGATTTGGTTTGGGTATATTCGCCACCTCACCAAAATGATCTCAGCTATCCATCCCATTTGATTTCATTGCCAATATATAAAGTTTGTCAACCCCAAAACGTCAAGATTGTGCATGCATATGCAGAAAAGAAAGCAGCCGGATAATCTAGAACAGAAATTATGGATATATGTTTGAGTTTGACAATAAAAGTAGTACGAGTGGACGGTTGGGGATATGTAGTAGAATTTAACAAATGCGAGAGCATCCCGAATGGATTAGATAAAGATTATTAAAGAGTGCTTGCTTTCTGCTACTTATTTAGAGTAGAATTCTGCCCTTTTTGCAGCTCCATCTGCTATCTTTTAATATATATTATAGTTTGCTTACTAATCCGGAAAAGGAAAGAAGATCTTTCATCATCAACTAGGTTTTGACTTTAGAGGAGTGAGGTGGGCGGTTGTCACTTTGCATATGCTATGCTATATGTTACGGGTCCTTTTGATAACCATTTCAATTTTAGTTTTTAGTTTTCATTTTTTATTTTTTATGCTATAGTATAGAGGAAAATGAGAGTGAGAATGAGAGTAAGAATGAGGATGAGAGGGAAGAGTAACAAAAGTGAAAATAAAAACTTGAAAGTGAAAACAATTTCAAATAGAATTTTTGTTTTCACTTTTGTTACTCCTCCCTCTCAATCCCATCTTCACTCTCATTCTCACTTCCATGCTCCCTTTAATGATTTTCCACATTTTCGTTTGGTCAAAATTAGTGTTTGTTGCCAAGCCCTTGACGCCCAAGCGATGAGAGAATGTGGGGGCAAGGATTAGGATTTGTTCAGGTTTTGATTCCCTTTCAATGTAACCAAATAATACATATTCTTAGTACTTACAAGCAAATGTATTGGTCCAAAAACAGATTTAAGAAATAAGGGAAGACTAAAGAGTAATGAACTCGTTTTGCATGCAATATATCAATGGACTTCTCAGATGGATTAAAAATGAATGTGGCATGTGAGAATCTCTGGCCCTAGGCCGCTATAGGAACCTACAATTTGTGGCCAATTATGCATTCAAGCTGGGTACTCAAGTTTCGACATAAACGAGCCAGAGAGAAGTCAGAAGAGACAAAAATTTGACTACAAAACTTAGTCCAGAAGATGTAGAAAATTTTATGGAAAACCAATCTGAAAATAACCACTGTTTACTGTAGTATCAATAATTAGTTTAGAGCTCAAAAAGTGCTTGTTCACACCACAAATTACAAACCAAATGATGAGCAAACCAAGTGTGTTTTCATTGTGGTTGCACCGGCTATTCGATGATCATATTTGAACCACAGAATTATAGTGCTCACCAAGCCCAAATGCATGCTTATGGTATGACAACATAATACTTGAATCAGAAGAATCCGTACTGCTGCTATCTGATTTGTACTCCTTGCCCATCTCCACATCAGGGAAGGATCCTGAGTATATTATGATATGTTTTTTAAGGCAGTGAGTTATAGCACCAAGCTCTAGCTGCCCTCCCCATGCTGCTGTTGACTCTACTTCTTTACAGTAATTCTCAAACCTCTCTGCAAGTGAATCCTCAGAATCTCCATCTACTGGATTCTCTGACAAGAAAAATGGGAGAAAATCAGATGCATGCTTCCTCATATAAGCAGCTACCATTTCTCGAAGCTCTTGGTACGTGTGAGGTGATGAACCTCCGGAAAGATGGGCCAGCTGATCCTGGATAGCTCGGTAGAGGCAATGACCATCGGGCTTTATTTCATTAATGGTCAAACCAAGGGGTTCAAGCTTTTTCTCCAGTTTCTCATTCTCAATCATTCGATCACTCACAAGGTTGCTCTGCTCTTCTTGAATTCTTTGCTCCCTAGCTGCATCTTGCTGAGCTCTTTTCTCTCGCCTCTTTGAACTCTTGCTGGGCTTTGCTTGGTCAGGTTGACTGGTGACAGAAACACCAGCTATGGCTTTCACTAAATTGTCAAGTTTGGCTTTCTCAGTTCCATTACTAGTGCTATACCCTAATGAAGCAAGTTCTTCAGCATGTTTTTCTTTAAGCTTAGCAGAAAGCCGAGAAATTTCTTCCTCCACCTGCTTTTTCTTAGTTTTTTGTTCAGCCTTGCTACCTTTGGCAGCTGCCTTCTTCATTTCAATTTCCTTGTCCTGAAGTTCTGATATCTCTTTCCTGTATAAGCAGAAATGTCAAAGGGGAATAACAGAATTATCTATGGGAAACTTAACAAAGTCGACCTAACCAATTTTTAAGACACCAGCCTCAATGAACCTATAATAAGTCGTCATTCTTATTATATCAACCACTTCTCGGAGAACATGAAAATGCATCACCAACACAATTTCATGAATTCAAATATATTGAAGACAAACCTTCGTATTAGGCAACCACAAGTGCGTTTGACTACCATACGCATGTAAATAACAGATCTTATTTGCATTACCAATGTAACCACCAGCCAAATACAACATCACAAGAACAACTAAAAGAAATCAAGTGATAAAAATGCAGACTTGATGAGCAAATCACCTGTGCCTCGAGAGCATTTCATCACGAGTTTCTTGTGTATTTTCAGATGATTTATCTGACATTGTTTCAGATACTTCTTGGGCATCCTCCATTTGAGCAATCCTGAAAGCCACTTTGAACAATAATACTATTATCCATCAAGAAGATCATAAAGTTTCAAACTTTTCTAAACCCAGGCCTAACCCAACATCTAATAAAAGCAGAAAGTAAGAAATTTTATTGACTAAACCAAATCCAAACATGAAACATAACACCACGATATACAAGGAACTTCACTTAAAGTCCAAGGGATACAATAAACAAATTAAAATATACTAACCCAAACTGAGATAATCAAATTCCACACCCATGGAACCTGTAAGTCTAACCGAGTACAATCCAACCATTTGACAATTAAGACTCTGTTTCGGCTCAAGGATTTGAACCAACGGTTTGGGTGCTTGAATATCATGCTGAGACTATGAACTTGAAATTCCGAATTTATTTTAGCTGATAGGTAGAACGAAATCTACTTACCCGACAGTCCTTTCAACCTCGACGCCGACCAAAAGCTGAAGCCTCCAAATTTATCGTTATCCCTGCAAAGCCCTAACCCTAGGGTCCAATTCCGATTATACACTCTCTCCGCAAAGCCTAATTGAGGTTGAGGAGAGCCAAAGGAAATTTCTTTTTAAATAGTATTATATATAAGGAAACATTCGACTATTAATTCGAGGGTTTTGTATTAGAATATAAAGTTTTTAAATGGGAACGCGCGAATGTAACGCTATCATCAATTTTTTCTCTGTTGTGATATAGGTCTTAGGTTTTGATCTATTGTGTTTTAATGGTATATGTCACGTGACATGTAAGTTCTTACTTAAATTTTTCCCGTATGGATATGGTGTACAAACCCACTCATAACGTTGTTAATTTTTTTAGTAAAAAATATATTTTTCAATCTCGACACACAAATATATTATTAAAATAATTTTGATGAAATTTATAACTATCTTTCAATGATTTAATTAATTTAAACGTATGACTATGTTAAGAGATCACAAATGTTAGAGAATATTTGGGTAAGTAAGATCTTGTAGCACCGGCAGAGGAACACATAGAACCTATTAGATTTGCTTGGGTTTAACGCATATAATCTGAGTTTTTTTAGGCATATTCCCGTTATTGAGAAAAGTAAAAATTCTCAAGCAAAGGGATATAAAGAAAAGTAAAAGAGAATCAAGTCTCAACAAGCTATAGGGCCCAAAATGTCCCTATATTGTTCATTATCTAGCCCATCCTACACAGCACAATTTAAGCAGAAAGTGGATCTAATGGGTTGAAGCCCACCCACTCCCCAACCCAAATCCCACAAATGCCCCCGAGTCATTTAATAGTGAGGGCCTTGTATATTATCTTTAGGTGATGTCCTATTTTATAACTATTGGATCACCTAGGAGCACTTCTAGCAGTGCCCCCTAGGCCGGCAATAGGGGGGCCCAAGCCCCAGTTTGATGTTCCAGCGGGCTTCTACAGCCCGAGCAGCGCATGGGTCCAAGCAAATCGGACCAGCCCAAAGACAAGAACAGCCGAGACTGTTGTATGGGTTTGCTGATGTAAGCAACGAAAAAAAAAAAATTAAATCTTAAAAAATACTAAAAATTTCAGAATTTTTTTAATAAATACTTAGTCACATTATTCACTTCCCACACCAAAATTCTATACAAATTCTTCTTCTCATATCTCATGTGAATAGTAGTTGCCTTTAATTGCCATAACAACGAGTGTAAACACTAGAAATCTTGAAATGCCCCCTACCCTCATCTCCCTCTCTATCTGAGGAGAGAGATGGCCAGAGGGGACAATGAAACGGTAAATGCCTTGTCAATGTTGTGATGCGTGTCGACAGATGAGGACAATACTAAGTTGTCAATGTGATACATCATGATGATGATGAATGGCTTTATTTTTATTCTTTTGATTGAGATGGATATATGGAGACACGTGCCATATTCTCGGATTTTAATATTAGGATTCGTTGCCAATAGAGAAGAAGATCACGCAGAACAATAAAGAAGATGCATTTATTCCCAATCTTGAGTGTCATGGAATGAAGACTTATTTTTTTTCCCTGGAATTTCTGGGATGAGATTGCTTGCGTGCAGGGCTGTTTACTCAGTGACACATAAAGGAATATTAATATTATAGGTATCAAAATATAGATCATAAATATGCATGTGAATTTGATGGAGGGACCATATCAGAAAAAAAAGAAGAAGAAAGTGAAATTCAATTGGATAAACTCTATCCCATCTCCACATCAGCCACATACTAGAACATGCAATGCAATCCGAACAAAAACCAGATTGATTAACCAGCTTTATCTCTGCATTATTTCTCCCCTCTTCTTCTTCTTCAAAGAAAAAGAAAAAGAAAAAAAAGATTTGGGTTTATTGGTGGTGTACGTTTTGTCTCTGTACACAATGCCAAAGTAGGGTCTAAAATTCCTAGCTAGCTAGTCTCTGACTTTGTAAAAACAAATGCAAAGAAAAACGCTAGGGATAAAGTTCATTCTTGTTGTCCCCCTCTTCCCTAAAGAGTTAATTTGCAACCAACCAAGAAGTAATATTAATTAGTATATCTTGATGCAACCAACCAGGGCCGAAAGTGTGTGTTGGTGGTCAATATATAAACATATATGTGTGATTCTTATTCTCAACACTGTTCATAGTACGGACATTCCAGGAGACGTCAAAATAGACTGTAAATTATCATTACTATGTGTCTGTGTGTGTGTGATTATATATATATATATATATATATATATATATATATATATATATATATATATATATATATATATATATATATATATATATATATATATATATATATATATATATATATATATATATATATATATATATATATATATATATATATATATATATATATATATATATATATATATATATATATATATATATATATATATATATATATATATATATATATATGCTGCATGCAATTTGTTTATAGCATATAGCAGAGTCGCCATCATGCAAATCATCAGTGGCATTTTTCTTATCCAAACAAATATCTAAAGCAGCTATACTACTTTCTCTTTCTTATCCATTTTATGGTTCTTAAATGTTTCTCTCTCCTTTTTTCTCTCTAGGTTAAACAATGCCATCCAACAGCCTCTCCTGCCTTTATAAATAGGCTGATCAATCCCAAAGTACACCAAGCAAACCCTCAAACCAATTAACCATTAAGCTCTTAGTACATCTGCTTTTGCTGCTCTTGCATATAGCATTTCCCATCACAAACAAATCTTTAATTAGAGTTTCTGCTTCTGGGTTTTGATTTGCAGAAGTGATCTGCATTGCTACTGATTTCTCTGCCCTTTACAGTGTTTGCATTAGTCAGTATACTTTGTTTTCTCTAGAGAAATGGAGAGTGTAAGAGAGTTGGCTTCAGAGAAGGCTGCTGTGATCTTCACAAAAAGCTCATGCTGCATATGCCACAGTGTGAAGTCACTTTTCTATGAGCTTGGTGCAAGCCCTGCGATTCACGAGCTCGATCGATATGCCAATGGGAGGGACATGGAGTGGGCATTGAGGCAGCTGGGCTGCAACCCTGCTCTCCCTGCTGTATTCATAGGTGGGAAATATGTAGGCTCATCAAAGGATATCATATCCTATCATGTTGATGGATCTCTAAAACAAATGCTCAAGGATGCAAAAGCCATCTGGTTCTAGCTAGGCTGCTAGCTAGTAGCTTACACATATTACACAGAAATTAAGCTATGCTAGTTAATGCTCTGTTAATTAGCTCTAAGTATACACAGAAAAGAATCCCAATACCATGCTTCAAGAAAAATGAGTATTGAGGTATATTTTCTTTTTTTCTTTTTCTACTATGTATGTAACTTCCCTGGCTGCATTCTATGTATGTGAAATGAAGTCAGATCATATGAAAAGTAAATCCTGGAGAGTTCTGAAGTTTTCTCCATCAAAACATCTTCTACTTTTAAATTTACAAGTAATTGGACACTGCAATTTTCCCTATCTGTCAAATCAGCAATGGATATAACTACATTGACCTATTTATGTATTTGGAATCCCAACTTAGGTGGCAACTGATATGCACCCCACATCGTTGTCCAATGCGAGAATGCCACCTAGGTTGGGAAAGAAAATTGGGAGAATGCCACCTATAAAATTTCATGATAAGACTGACTAACTAAACCGCAGCAGGTTTTTCATTTGTTCACAAAAGATTGTTTCCATGCTAAGCTAGATTAAAATTTTAGAATAAAATTAAGTTTCAACTAAGCATAACAGTAACCTTTTATCATGATCAATGATAAGAAATTTTCCAATACAAAAAACATATCCGCCAGATTAGGTGGGTCCCTGTTTGAAAAACTGAGAATCACATTTGCCTATAAAATGTAAAAGGCTATATAGTTTTCTGTTATTATGTGAGTTTGTATATGCATGGAAGATAAGAATCTTTTCTTTGCATATATATATACCAGGCTGTGGGTGCAGGTTAATCTTTGAAGGAAAAGATGAAATGGTTGGGTGGTTCTCAGCATTCTGGCGACTACATGCCAAGTGAATTTTATGGGAAGCCATGTGCATGACACTTTAGCCGAGCCGCTGAGGGATCAGAGACAAAGAAGCTTTGATGCCTTTAGGCTCCTATAGCTAACCTTTTTGGGCCTTGTATTCCTCCAAATCCAAAAGGCCAAAAAGTTCTTCCATATGTCCATCTATATAAAGAAGAAGCTATTTAATAAATCAGAATCTCTGCAGGACTATCTGATATGAACATCAAAAGAATTTAGATTTTCACTGATATGTTATATATGCTGATTGATGACTCATTATACTCTAAAAAGGCTTGCTCCAATAAGAGGAATATCTGGCCTCTTCATTTATACAGACAAGAAGGCTCTTCTAAAACGTGTGGTGATCATTTCCATATGCCTATCCACATACATGTGGAGCATGGAAAAGTTTGGAAACTTAACAGTCTGTATGAGCAATATCTCAGCTAGCTCTCTTACGTGTCACGTGTGAAAAGGAATCGTGCAAGTTGGTGGGCGCAACACAACAGAATCGCAGCCACCGAAAGCCATCTATTTATCTCATCATTCCCCATTTTTCTGCACAAGGATTCAAGGAAGGTGATTTAGGGAATCTGGTATAAATTGATCCCAGCTGCCTTATGGAATAACTTTCTACTTTTGTTGTGTCTAGACAGAGAGTATATGTATATTTGGTGTTTGTTTCCATTAAATTTGTATAACCTGAAGAAATGGTGCATAGGCTATACACGTAGGTCGCGTATAAATTACACCACTCAATATATATGCAGTCATATAAGAGAAATTAATTCACTTCAGCTAAGCATGTACTGCATGCAGGAAATACATCTGCCATGCAACTTGTTCAGTCTAATAGATGTTTGGAGTCTTTATCTTAAAAGGTAGCTTTTCTTTGTTTGGGCATCTAAATAAAGACCATCCTCTTTTGAATTTTCTTGTTCAAAGAAAAGCAGTCCACCCTGCTATGCTGTCCCTATAAATAGTCCAGCAATTGAGAGCTCAAATATTCAAACAACCTTAAGCTTCAAACTCTTCTCTCTACCCAACCTAGCTAATTATCTATCTCTTCTCCTGATCATAACTCCAAGCCAATTTAACCATTGGATCGAGTTCAGTTTGAATTCGATCCGATGGTTCTGATAAAGTCTTAAGTAAACTAGTAGTCTTAGGTAATCCAGAGGACTACTTTTTTCCCTTCAAGGCAAAACTTTGCCATATTGGGAAGATACTCTTGATCAAGTGTTTTTTTTTATCAAGATGGACAAAGTAATGAGGTTGGCATCAGAGAAGGGTGTGGTGATTTTTAGCAAGAGCTCATGTTGCCTGTGCTATGCAGTTAACATTCTATTTCAAGAGATTGGGGTGAGTCCTGTGGTTCATGAGATTGACCAAGATCCTGACGGCAGGGAAATGGAGAAGGCTCTTATGAGGCTGGGGTGCACTGCCCCCGTGCCGGCTGTGTTCATAGGCGGAAACCTGGTGGGATCAACCAATGAAGTCATGTCCCTCCACCTAAAAGGCCAACTCATCCCAAAGCTGAAGCCTCACCAGCAGCAGACTATGTCTTAATTAAAACTACTCAAATATCATATTGCGAAAAAAATAAATTGGCTCAAATTCGTACTGTAGTAGTGAGCTCTGCATGCAAAGTCTATGTAGTAGTGCTTCCTTCTTTTATTTCTTTTTTTTTTCTTCTCCTTGAACAAGTTATGTAGTGTTTGATGTGTCTAGTGCTCTGTAACATTTGATCAGCTATAGCATGTATTCTATTTCCTATTCTTAATGAAGTTAACTTTATATACTTTCTGTCTTGGTGTGCAATTTTGTAGTTTGCTGCTCCCCCCACTGCCACTATATAATGTCCAAAATGAGAACAATACCATTTTAAACTATGAAATCTAAACATTGCAGTAATGCAGACTCTAGACCATTTGGAGATCTTAAAATGCTCTCCCTTCGTACTTCCCCCACGCAGAAGAAAAGGTGAGAAAAAAAAAACGAAGAATCAAAGGTCTCTCTCCACAACTTGAAACAAAATGTAAGTGAATAGCCAGTTTATTCATTATTTGTTGTTGTTGTTGTTTTCTACGGTCAACCCCTACATATAGAATATCCTGAGAACAAATTATACTGTATGCTGAAAATTCTCTGAAATGATTGGAAACAGACAGCGCAAAATATCAAGAGTTTGGGATTTAACTAGCTTTCAAACCATTATAGTAAATTGTGAATCTGTTTTTTTTTTCTTTTTAAACCCTTTTTAAGCATTCTGAGAAAAGCTGCAATAGAAAAATTGAAGCAAGAGACAGAGAAACTTCCCAAACACTGAGTAAAAATCTGGAGTTGTAGAGAGAGAAAATTTAAAATCTAACTTTCATAATCCACCTTGCTTTCCTCCATACATGGTATTAAAAGTAAAAAGGAGAAGAAGAAGAAGAAGAAAAAGGTGCACTTTTCTAGGCATAGATTCTTCAACTTTATCAGAGATAAAGAAAGGTATTACATTCGTTTCCTTTTAACACTTTGCTTCCTTTTCTTTTATTCTCTTGATTCTCTCCCTCCAACGATAGATTTGTGTTTGGTAGTCAGTGTCAACCTATCAAGCACATCATGGAAAATTACAGCTCCGCATGTTATTAGTGCGGAGCAAGATGCATATATGGCATCTCCCGTACATATTCCTTTTCAACTCACAGCCTCAGAGTCAGACGACACACATATCTATCCTCCCACACAGAAAATATATACATGTCAATTCTACAACTTGCACATACAACTCTCTAGCTAGAGAGTACTGTTTTTGCACTCAAATTCCAGCAAACTTGGATGCATAGCGAAACTACGAATAAAAGTTGTACAGGTTAACTTTGCCAAACTCTATAGCTGGCTCTACTTGTCCAAGTTTGTTAACTTTTAAACAACCAAAAGGAATCAATTGAGTGGTGAGCTGCCCCAGAGAATCACACTAGAACAAAGATTCATTGTTGGCTTATGTTCTGCTGATCAATCTTAATCCAGAAAATTCAAAACAAAACATTAATCTTAAAGTAGTGAAAAGGGCATGCAGCCGGCATGAAGTTTTCGAGGTTTTATTATGGAAAAGAAATGAAGTCTGTAATGTTTATGATACCATAACAAGATGCTCCTTGTCAGGCAGAACAAAATATTGTAGAATTTATCAAATTTAACCTGATAAAAAAGTAAAAAACTATAGCCATGCCCTGCAGAATCCATTCAAATCTTACATTAGGTGTACTAAATCTTACATATCAGTATCAAATATTACGAGCATCATCATCCGAATCGATTTTGAGTTGAATACTCTAAACTGATAGTAATAAGAACTATAATAAATTATGAGATGCAGGTTCACCGTTGTAAAGTTGATCCAAACAACCTATTTGTTTGAAGAAATTATTATGAAGGATACAATCATATTGGTGCGGTCCATTTTAGGTTACCCTGAACACTAGTCCACATGGGTAGTGCAAGTGCTTAGGTCATGTTTGGCGATTAGGATTGAATTGCATTGGATTAGGAGGTAGGATTAGTTACATTGAATTACATTCGATTAAAAAAGATATGGTCTAGATATTGTGAAATGCGGTTAAATATAAAAGAACTAAAAGTAGAGGCTCGGATCCCATTGGCACTAGTGTCCTGAGTTTGTGTCGAGGCTCCCGGATCTTGAATTCAAGATCAAGGGATTGGAGTAGCGAGATTATGTATCCCATCTCATGGGTAGGATAAGTTGTCCTACAAAAAGGCATATAATAAAGGTGGGTGCAACTATCTTTTATCCTATCCACATTCCACATTCCACATTCATTTTTTAACACAAAAAATGATATTGGATTAAGCTAATCCAATCCTATTCCTTGTTCTACCATAAAAAAAGGTTCGATTTTATAAAATTTAAAAATTAAAAACAGTAACGAATTCATATATTAGACGCGTTCGATCTCAATTGTCTCCTCCTACCCAATCACATCTTGACACATCACTATCCATAGACCATGAGAGAGGTACCTTAGTCATTCGAGGAGGTCGGCAAAAAGCCTCCATTCTACACGTGGCGAGATATCAGTAGGAGTTTAAGAGCACAAAACTAAAGCCACCGATCAGAGCTAGAAGAAATCGTAGTTTCTTATCACGCCTCTTGCTTTCGTTCAAGAATCGATTCTCTTACCGCCTGTTTGGTTGCCAGGAAAATGAAGGATAACTACGGAGGAGAATGTGAGAATTTCTCGGATCTTAATTACTGTTCCTTCGAATGTGAAAATCTTAATTACTGTATTCAGATCACTATGTAATGGAGATTTCTGGTTTTCATTATAAATTATTAAACAGATTGCATTATCAAATTTAATTGGTAAAGATCGTCGTGGATCACTGTATTTATAGTCTGATTTGATTTGGAAACTTGTGATTCTATTTTAATGAATATGTATGGCATGAAATAGATTCGACATTATATTATTGTTGCAGAGAGATATCAATAGGATCGAGTTCTTGAGGCACTTGGGTCATATGAGGTGCTTAGTTGGTTGGATTGGTTCCCAAACCCTTGATTCGGATGCGCAGCTTTTGCTTCTTCTTCTTGCACATAAGGTTCGATCCTCATTTGCCGCATTCTTGGCTTTTATAAAATCTACTTTTGATTTGGTTTATTAAAGATTATGAGGATTTTGTATTTCATCATTAGTGCTGAATAATCTGTTTGAAAAGGGAATGTTGAAAACTAAATGAGGGTTTTTTTGGCTCTCTTTTTTTTTTTTTTTTCCAGGTGGGTTGGGGGAGTTTGAATTCTTTCTGTGGAAGAAGTTGTCTGTTTGGGTTTTCAAGTTTGGGGAAGAAGAAGAAGAAAGGAGAAGGACGGGGTATATGATATGGGTCAAAGAGAGGAGATAGAGCTTAAGTTCAGGATTTATGATGGGACAGATATAGGACACCATTCTTATGCACCATCCATGACAGTAGCAAATCTCAAGAAAAGGCTACTTGCTGAGTGGCCTCAAGGTAATAAAGCCACACCCAAATTGGATTTTGATGAACATGAGTTGCTGAAAATTGAATTTCATGAACTGATATATCATGTGGCGTATACATTACAGATGAAAGCAGTCCATATTTCAGCTGCATTTTCATGTAACATAACATATTTTGATTGTTAAAACTTCTCTTGATCAAGCTAGCTATAGTACTTTTGTCTAATCAATGGAACTTTAATTTTTCGATCACCCCCAGCGAAAACAGTGACACCCAAGTCTGCAAATGAAGTAAAACTCATACATAGTGGCAGAATTTTAGAGAATAACAAAACACTTGCTGATTCCAGAATAACCTCCGTTAACCAGCCTGGTGGTGGGGCTGTAATCATGCATGCAGTAGTGCAGCCTCCTGTGCCCAAACAAAAGAAGACAGGTTAGTTCTGTACAAACCCGCCTTTTAATCTCGGAAGTAGAATCGGTCGATCAATCAGATTCAGATATATTTTTGTTTTTTTGGTCAATGTATCTTTGTTTCTGCAAAGTTCTTTCTTTTAGTATCAATGGATACATGAAATTTCCTGCATGTTCATGGATGATGAGTGCCTGATTTATATGTTCCGGGTGGGTTTTGTGCAGATAAAAACCAGAAAGATATGCAAAAAATGAATTCATGCTCGTGCACCCTTCTTTAATCTGGGAAGCAGTCTCTGTAGCTGCGATTGCAGAGGACCACCACATTTGATTTTTCACTTGTTATTTTGTTTCATTTTTTCATATTTGATTCAAGTTGTGTGTAAAATTTTGAGTGACATCTATAGTCATGCAGTTAAGTTGCCTTTGTTACTTGAAACTATCGGTCAAATTGCTTCATTTTTTCGTATCTTGTTGTGTCAAACCTTATACGGAAACTTCAATTGTGGACAAGGCCATCCTAAGTTACTAATACGTATGCTAAAGTAAAACTCTAATATAATTCCCTATTATTATTTTTTTATTTTTCACAAATAGGCCCATTCTAACATGAGATATATGGCTTTTGTTGATGCGAAAAAGTGGTTCAGTACTCTTGGGCTCAACTTCGTGATATGGGAGCTTTTGATATGCCTTGGGCCTCGGTAGTGTGAACGATCTGCAAGATGAGCAAACGCTCGGTAAGACCTAAGGCACTGGTGTGGTACCGGCCAAAGGCTCTCCGATGCTTAAGTAAGTTCGGATTTAGTCAATTAAACTGACAGATCAATAGGCTTGTATGCCGTTAGCTCTGATTACCTCCATTTTGGGATGACTGTCCTCTTTTATAGACCTTGGGAGGTGTGCATATTGTTTAGAATTTCGATGTGTGCATTTTGGGATGACTGTCCTCTTTTATGTCGATTATGAGCATGCAACGTGTCCTGAAGAGGGGGTTGCCCTAGTGGAAGGATCGCCAGGTTAGGTGCCGAAGGCAACCACGACCAGGCTCGATTTTGTCCACGTGTCTTGTTCTTGTTGGCTGTCTATTTTGGTATAAACAGCTTTAAAACTCCCGTCATAGACTTATAAATCGAAGAATAAAAACCTCAGTCATATTAACCACATTTTTTCTTTAAGAACAATATCAAGTTGGTAACTAAATATTCTAGTCTCAATTGATTCCTTTCTATAATAATAGTTGGAACTTGAAACTACATCACGTATACATGCAACATGTATTCCAGATTTACCCTAAGCATAACAAACAATGCCAAATAGTCCTGTATGTATCGATATGGAGACTTCAGTTGTAATTTGGAAGAATATTGTAAAAGGAAATAAATAAAATAAAATAAGGAGACAATAAAACTTGGGTGACACTCAGACCCTGTTCACCCTTTTGGTATTCTCTACACCACATCCATCCAGAGCAGAGCAATTCAGGCATTCACAATTGACCAGCAATAATCCATCCAATGGAAGACTCTGCTTCTCCTGCTTCTCCTGCTTCTCCGCCTCCGACCAAGAGTCGACAAGATTTCGGAAAATTGGATTTCGGGTAATAATAGAAGATAAAGCAACGGCCTTTTCTTACGTTTCGTCTTTTTTGTCGGTAATTTGTTAATCTTTGTTTTGTTTCTAATTATTGATTTAGATGCGACCATTATCGGAGACGATGCAAGATTCGAGCCCCTTGCTGCGACCAGATTTTCCCCTGCCGCCACTGCCACAACGAAGCCGCGGTGCTCCCCTTTCTCCTTATGCCCTTTTATATAAAATATTTATATAATTCATAATTCATGTGTAATTGGGACTTTTTTATTTTTTATTATTTATTAATTTTGTTCGTTTTGTGGTTCTTAGAGCTCCCTCAGCAACCCCAAAGATCGCCATGAACTTGTCAGGCAGGATGTGAAGCAAGTATGCCCCTTTCCCCACATATATTTATTTATTCATATTAACATTCACACTTGCTTTCACTGTTCTATTTAATCATAGTGTTGATTATTTGGGTTTTGCAATTGCTGTTTTAGGTTGTATGCTCCGTTTGCAATACAGAGCAACAGGTTCGATTTTGGCGGTTCCTATGATATAATGCGTTTGTTTATTTTTAGTGCAATTGAACCTTTCAAATGCCCTTATTTTGCTTGCACTGTGATCTGTTCCCAGGTTGCTCAGCTTTGTTCTGACTGTGGTGTCAACATGGGAGAATATTATTGCGACATTTGCAAGTTCTATGATGATGATGTAAGATATTTAGTTTCAATCCATTAGTCATCTTTGGATAAATGAAATCGGAAGTGTCTGAATTTAGGGATACAGCTGTTTAGGTGTTAAATTTGAGTATCTGATACCAAATACCAAATATACTGTTTGTGAATGATGCAGATCAGCAAGAAGCAATTTCATTGCAATGAGTGCGGGATTTGCAGGTTAGCCAACCGGTGATATCTTCCTTTTATTGATTTCTGCTTTTCGGATTGTGCCCTTCTTTCAAACTGAACTATTTCTGTCGTTGAATTTTGATTCTCAGAGTTGGTGGTCGTGACAACTTCTTTCATTGTCAGAAGTGTGGTATGCAATTACCTTGTTTTGCTGGATTTGTTTTATGGTTTTGTAAGCTTAATATCATAATCCCTGTTATTTCTTTTTCGATCACTCTAGTCCAACCTTGCACCTTCAGATGTACCATGCTTATATACAACTGGGTTATTTCACGTCTTAACTTGGAGAGATGAAAAGTTCCTCCATTTTTAGGGTACTTCCAAGAAAAGAGTGATGATGAGGCAGGACCTATAACTCAGAGAATTAGAGCTTGTGGCTGGAAAGTTGAAACCACGGTGGTGAGGGGTTCAAACCCCTCACTTCTTATAATTGGCCAAAAAGCGAACAAATCTTTCCTTTTGGAAGTAGGCAAATCATGATAGAGATAACAGATCCATAACATAGGGTGGGGTTGGCCGTTAGGGTCCCCCGAAGTATTCATACATTTTCAGTCGGATTGCATTTTTCACGGAGGTTTTATTCCTCTTTTCTTTTTTCTTTTTGGGAATGGCAACACAGGTAAAGTGGAGGCTGGCTGATTTGCCTTTTCTATGTTCTTCCATGAAAACAGGTTCTTGCTATTCAGTGGAACTGCGTGATAATCACTTATGTGTAGAAAACTCCATGAAGAATCACTGCCCTGTTTGCTATGAGGTTTGTGATTATTTAAAGTTCAAAAATTAAAATAAAATAAAATTTATGTCTTCTAACAACTCTTTTACTATCCTGACAGTATCTTTTTGACTCGGTTAAAGGCACATCAATTATGAAGTGTGGACACACAATGCATTCGGAGTGCTTCATTGAGATGCATAGACAAACTCAGTTAACTACATTTTATCTCGGAGATAACTAATTTATTATATAAATTGGATGAGTCAAACAGTAGTTGTTTGGTCATAATATATTTTGGATTTATCATCCAATCCAGGTATCGTTGTCCCATCTGCTCCAAGACAGTACGCGACATGAATAGTATTTGGAGATTGTTGGATGAGGATGTGTGTATTCTGCTCCTTTTCATTCCTCTTTAATCCTTGTATCCTATATTATTGTGATTCTGAATTAGTTTTCTTTTCTTTTCTTTTCTTTTGGGTGATAGATTGAAGCCACTGTCATGCCCGAGGAATACCAATATGAGGTAGTTGCTTTGTCCTTTTTTTCTCCTTCCTGTTTTTCAATTGTCTTAGCCATAGTATACTAAATGAATCTATGCCTTTATCATACACTTGTGCATCTACCACATTGACCTTCATTGATGAAGGTCTTTGATAGTTGCATGATTTTTGGTATAGACCCATGTCTGCGTTACTCTATCTATTACTCTACTGTTCCTAGTTTGAAACATACAAAAACTGTCAATTTACTTATTGGATTTCTATTTATTTTATTATTATTTTCCCCGATTGTAAGCATATTGCTCTGTTATACCATTCTTGGGCACAAATTGAATGTAACATGTTGCATATTCTCCAGGTATCAATTCTTTGCAACGATTGCAACACAACTAGCAGCACTCCCTTTCACATTTTTGGGCTCAAGTGCAGCAACTGCAATTCATATAACACCCGAAGAATTTCAGCTGCAGATCATCGATGACATTCTATTGATTACAAGTTTTGTTGAATATGCAAGGCTACGCCAATTCACATTAGACTCTTTTGTCTATGCTTCACGTTGTTTTGACTAGAATAGTCCTCTTCTATTGTACCTTTGCTTCTTGTACGCCAAGTGTATGAAAAGAATGCTCAGCTGCTGTAATTGACCAGCTTCCATTGGTTCATCCAATTTATACCAACTCATTGATTTACCGTCCAAGTCAGAATAGAATCAATCTCTCTCTTTCTTTCTCTGCCGCATTGCAATGCCCTTTTTCTTTTCTTTTCTTCACAAACACATCTGTATTTTTGTGGCACAATTCAATTAAAGAACATGAAATTGTGCAGTCCGAGTATACTTGTGATAAGTTTGGCAGTTTGTCATGCTCGACTCGTGAAATCTCTTTTGGCTGACTGAACTTCGTGAGGAGGTAGCAGCTTTGTCATGGCAAAACACAGCTGCATGTCAGCTATTAGTTTATGGCATCGAGTAGTGTCGACAAAACCGGACTGGACAGGTGGTAGGGCTGCCCCACAGAAATAAATCAATTGAAGTAAAAAACAAAAAAACAAATCACTTGTTAAGCTGACTGCTGACCTAGATGTAGGGTTCAGAACTTGAGTTGCAAGCTAGGAAATTTGCTCTCTCTCTCCTCCCTCGCATGAATTTTCACGTACAAATTGGTCCCCCCATCATATAATGAATGCGGACCAAACTTATGGAGGGCCTAGATTTTGGATGTGCCCAGATTCCATCTTCAACTTTATGATATGCTGACCCTTATCAAGTTAATGAGGAAGAGGGCCCCATCCCATCCCATTCATGTGACTTCTATACAACAACACATCATCATTTGTTAGCAAAAATCAAGAACCATCTAGAGATTAATGAGGTCGTACATTGGATTAATGACATCATCAATGCCTCACCTAAATTTGTAACTCTTTTTAGTTTGAGACCCTTAACAAAAAGGTTTTTTTTATTTATTTAAATTAATTAAAAGGTAAATTGTAGTTTGGGAGAGCTATTGTTGAATAGGGGTGATTATAGAATACCACGTGGCCAGTATTCTATAATTTCTAGTTGGACAGGGTTTTTATTAGGAAGGAGATAGATTACTCATTATTTTATGGTTTGTTTAATTTTTTATTAGTTCTTTTGGAGCTTTTTCCGAACTTTTAAAGTAAATGTAGACCATCGACATGGAAAGGTCAGCCACCATAGCTTAGCAACTTTGAAGTTCGAAGGGAACGTGAATATTGTTCAGCTTTTATTATTTTCTCTTTTATTCGCAGTCCACACAAAAATGCTATGGAGGAGACGTCATCGCCAATATTTCACCTTGCCCTTGCCCTGCTGCTAGCAACTAGCAAGTTCCAAATTCAACCTTTTTCAGAGCAAAAACTAGTCTTAACTGCAAAGTCTCTGCGAGTGTTAACCAAAGGTAAAACATCACTTTCCTATCTTTGTGGAAAGCAGACAAAAATCAACAAACCGTCTTTAGGATTGTTCTTGTTCATCAAGTAATGATAAGATCTTCCTCTTTCTCATATGCAATTCTTCCAGCCCTGTTTCAAAGCCACACCAATATCTCTGATATTTAGAAGAAAATAAGAAAACGGATAAATACATATAAGAACAGAAAAAGAAGAAGAGAGATTCATTCATTCATACAGATATATTTGCAAACCCAGAAGCCACAGAAACACACAGAGCAAGAAATGAATGGTTCTTCAAGAAATAAACAAGCTGAGGCGCCACAACCAGAACAAGAGCACCAAAAGCGTCTTTGTGACTATTGTGGAAGCTCAATGGCTCTGCTATACTGCAGAGCCGACTCAGCCAAGCTCTGCTTCTCGTGCGACCGTGAGGTCCACTCGGCCAATCAGCTTTTCTCCAAGCACACTCGGTCACTGCTCTGTGACGCCTGTGACGGTTCCCCTGCCTCCATCTTCTGCACAACTGAGAGCTCTGTTCTTTGCCAGAACTGTGACTGGGAAAGCCACAACCTTTCGTCGTCGTCGGTGCACGACAGGAGGCCTCTGGAAGGGTTCAGTGGGTGCCCTTGTTTGAATGAGCTGCTTACAGTTGTTGGGTTTGAGAATATGGATAAAAAGGCTCTGCTTTTGAGTGATGAGAGCGGTGGTGGTGGAGGAGGAGGTGATGGGTTTTTGGGTTCTGGGGTTGATGGGTCTTTCGATTTGGATGATGGGTTTTCGGATTTTTTGGTTTGGGACACTCCCTCTGTTGTTAGTCTTGACGATTTGATTGTTAGCAATCCGGCTTACAAATTTCAGGCTATGGGGGTTCCTCCTCTGCCTAAGGTATGTATGTTTTTTTATTCGAAACTCTCTTTGTTTCTTTAAGATATAAAGGAAATGACTTTAATTTTTCTAACAATTTTTTATTAGTGAAGGTCTTATGTTTTCATTAAAAAGAAAAAAGAAGGAAATGTTCTATATTGCCCTTTTCCTCTGTTCAATATGATGTTAGTCTTGATGCTTTGCTCGTCTACTAAAAGAAGTGATTTCAAGTAATATTTCTGGATTTATTTTTTGTTTTTCCTCTCAAGGTTCCGGGTAAAAATTCAGTTTCTGCTCAAAGAAATATAAAAAAAAACTTTATGTAAATTTGTTTCATTGTAGTTCAATGCACAATAAAGAATCCTAACCCTACCGGAAAGAATCCTTTGGTTCTCAAATTGTCTGTTGTTTCTCACTCCCTTTGCTTCGTTACTATTTTTTAAGAATATGATTTAAAAATTTGGAGGAAGGGTTTCTTTGCGCTTGTGTATACTGTTGAAATCGTCTATTATTTATTTCAATTTGACTTAGTTCAGGATATTGTTGTTGAATCAGAATCGCAATGCTGCTTGTGGTCGACACAAGGAAGAAATATTTCGTCAGCTTCGTGTGCTTGTCAAGTCAGAACCCAACTTGTTTAGCGAAAATGTGGATGTTAAACCCCTTGAGTCCCTAGCTTCTGAACAAAACATGCAACGAGGAAGTTTGTTTACAGGTTTTGAGCATGATGCAGAGCCAACTGTATTTCCTGCTTATGAGGTAAGCTTCTCTTATGTCAATGTTAGTGCCTGCAGATTGAATTTGAAAAATGATCAAGTGTGTTTCTTTCATGCAGGCACATGATTTTCAGTGTAACGATTGTGGCACAGCCGAAAAGCGAGAATCTTCTCCTAAAACATTTATAAGGAGCTACCTTCACGAATGTTGTGTAGTTCCTGACAAACATTCATATAATGATGGCAGTGCAAGTCATGCTAATGATGGTCATGGTCATGGAGGGCAAACGAATTCTGAAGCCTCCTCAGCTTTTCCCAAAGTTGCTGCACATGAGTTAAGTAGCCAAAACAGAGAGACCGCTCTCTCACGGTACAAGGCGAAGAAGAAAACAAGAAGGTATTACACCCCCATTTGCCACAAGTATCTCTTCTAAGGTTAAAAAATTTGACTTGAAAGGATTGCAAAGTTCGTTTCATGCCAGTGAGATTCTGAAATTTATATGTTTATCATTTCATAATTTATATTAGTAACTGTGGTCTTTCTTTTATACTTGAAATCTTGTTGAAGTTGTTAGTGATTGATGGAGAAGTTCAGAATTGGAGGGAAGTTTATAAATTCTTTATTATCATTATCACTTGTGAGCCTAATAATCTGATATTATTTGCATCAAGTGGCGGTTGTGGTGTATTTATCAGTCTAACTTATTTGTGCACCTCCTTTTCTGCTTGGCCTGTCATGAATGTTATCATGCCAGCATCTTTGGACTTTGGTATGTGACATATGTTTACTTGGAAACAATGACCAGGTATGAGAAGCACATCAGGTACGAATCGCGGAAGGTTCGGGCAGAAAGTAGGACGAGAATTAAAGGACGTTTTGCGAAGATGGATCACTGAGGAGAATGGTAAGGAAATATGACAGTTACAGCAAACTTTGATGTCCTCCTATTCACACATCTTCTTCTTCCGGGTAGAAGTGAAAGGAAGCAAGGGCTATGAACACACTTTCCTGTTCTTATATATTTTCCTTGGCATCCGCTTTTAATTTTGTATAATGGCATAAGTATTCAACAGCTTTGACAATCAGATGAGGAATAGCTCAAGACAGAATTTGCGACATTTTGCTTTGCTAGGAGCCATTGAAACATCGGTATGCGGTCCTGAGAAAATATGACATTTTTGCTTTGCTAGGGAATTATTTATTATTAATCTTGTATTCAGAAGCTTTTGAAATTATAGCTTGGATCATTTGGTTGCTTGTTTCTGAAAGAAAAAATAAATGTAAAATCTTGTATTTGGATAACTGTGATGTACATACAAAGCATCTCATCATGTTCAAGTTAACTTCTTTTTCTGTTGTGTTAAGTTAGTTATGACAGGAACTCAGTTAGGTTACTGTGGTCTTTATACATGTGTTTAATTTTATGGGCCATGGTTGGAATTTCATGTTTAAATATCCATACTTTTCTTCAAGTTTTTGTATTTTTTTTGTGCGTGCATGCGTTCGTGTGTTTAAGTTACATTTGGGCTAATCAGAAATGCTCATTCATAGAAGATGAAAGTAGAAAAACATGGGCGTGGTCTATAGTTTTAATGCTGCATATAGTCATACGTAGGGAGATTGATATTGTGCTGAAATCATTGAATTGCAAAATGGCTTGGATATATTAGTTAGGTTGATTGTTTGTGGCGACAATGGTGGTGGGAGTAATTGGCCATGACAAGTTAGTTGTGGTGGTGGTGACATGGTGGCGAGTGGCAATGATAGTCATGACATGGTGGTGGTAGTGAATCATATCAAGCTTGAGGTGATTAAAACATTTTTAAAAACTATAAGGTTGCAAAAGAACTAATTATTTTGAACAAAAAAAGAGCACATGGATGGAATGAAGAATTCTTAGAACAATCCTCAGGAGCAAACTTCAACAGCTTCTGGTTAAGGTCATATATGAATAAGTAATTGGATTGGTGCACTGATTCAAGAATAGTACGTCGGCGATGAAGGCCAAACATAAGAGATCATTCTCTTGCTGATCAGCCTTCACCTTTATGAATAAGTCCTCTGGGTTGATCACAAGGTCAGCATGTTCAAAGTGAAATGTCAACGTAGGCAGAGGTGGCAGCGGCGTCATCCATTTGTGGCAAAGTTCAAAAAGGGGGCCCAAGAGGCCTAGCACCCCTAACAAGGTGAGGAAAGCGCATGAAACACATCTCCAGAAACTCAACCACAGCCTTAAAAGCAGGCCTGATGAGAAAAGTAAATGAGCTACCATTGTCCTTGGGGCAGCCTCCACTTGTGCCCTGATTTCGTACAGCAAACACATTTGGGTCTATGAGAAGCTTTTGTCCATGCACACTTATGGCCAACAGATTGACGTAGTAATATGGTATGTCTTTGAAGAACACTAATTTGGTGACACGCAGACCACCTGGTGGTGTGGGGACGTCCTTACCAAATCTGATATATGTTTGGATCTCTCTTCGGCGTGTTAGGCACATTGAGAATACTTTACCAGTTTGATAGGATTGTTGCAGTGGAAAGGAAATCGGAGCATATCCCAAACCCATAGTCATGTAACCTTGAACTCTTCCAGCCTTCCAGAACTGATTTTCCTGGTGTCATAAGCACAACCAAACACTACGCCCGGAATCATCAGTGGCTGCCCACTGCTTGACAAAAAGTTTAAATTTTCAGCTGCGCATAGTTAGTTGCCATATTTTCGAGAATTAATAGTACAAAAGATTAATATATTCATGCCTGAAAGAATAGAATTGACAACGGTGCCGCCCATGTACTCATCGTGCTGGGAGCAGTAAGGACCGGTGCATTGGCCTGTATTGCAAAACGGGTTTTGATTGCAACAGAGAGCAACATAAGATTTGGACTTAGCTGTTAGGGAAAGGGGGTTCTTTGGTTTGAAAGCATTGACAATCCTCTCACAGCGCCCATGTGAGGGTGCTTCCAGTGTCGGTGTACAAGTAGTATGTATTGAATGACCTTGTCGGGAAAGTTGCATCAAAAGTCCCAATCCCAACTTGTACAAGGTAAGAGCCGTAAGGGTAAAATTCGAGTTTCGGACGAATGTCAAGAGGGTTGATTATAGTTTGTGACACATTATTGTTGCCGAGGGATGCCAAGGTGTAATGATGGTGTTGAGCTCGGGCAATGGATCGGTCTATGAGTCTTTGGATTTCTTCTTCATAAGAAATATTGCCTGGATAGAGAGGTGATGCCGGCGATTCATGAGTTCCATGGTCAAGCCATTTGGTTTCCCTGCGGCATTAACGCAAACGCAAGCAAGGAAGAAGCCAAGTGATAGGATGCATTGCAATATTATTGCTGCCATTATCTGCCTCATAGCTAGTTGTTGCAATTCCTCATAGTGCTTGCTGCTTTTTGTAGTACGTGCATGATATATATGGCCTTAGCTGGGGAATTAAATTTAGCCCAGTATGGTAATTGTAGCCTGCATTTCTGTATGAGCAGCTTATTTACCTTAAATTTTCCTATCAAAAATAAAAAATTAAATAAATAAAAAATTCCCTATGAGTTGTTGCCACATGAGCAAATTTACTAGAAAGGTTCGTCCTTACATTTCTGTACTAAATTGATGCATATAAATAAATGTCTTTGGAAAATGCATGTATGTGCAATTAGGGGCGAAGCTAGAATTGTAAAGTTAAGGGGGCCGGAATAGAAAATACAAATATATAAAATATTTAAGTATTCAATAGTTACATGTCTAGAGCTAAATACTTTTATCTCTCTACTGTTATATTATATATAACATATAAACAACTTAGTACTAAACAACATTTGAATTTCAAGTTCTATTCAGGTTCAGCTAATTAAATCCAAATCTTAACCGATGCCAAATTGCTAATAGCTTACAATTGCTATTTGATCTCTTTTTACTTTGTTTTATTTTGCATTGTGACTATAGTCTAAAATATCGATAATATCGATGAAATATCGAGGATATTATCATTTTTTCGAGTCAATGATATTTTGGAATGCATCCATACACATATCGTATAAATATTGATAATATCGACGTCGATAATTTCTCTCACACTTCAGCAATATTTGGCCAAAATATAACTATAATATCGTTATAATATCGATAATATGGAGATGATGAAGACAATGAAAATTTTGAAGAGTAATTTACTATTTGTGCAAAAATTCTCACGGGAGAATATTCGCTTGTGCATTCTTCAACCTTTAATCTTCTTTCTCTCGCTAAAAATGGTACAGAGTTTTCTCTATAAGGAGAACCAGGTGACCAGAGCCTTGTGTGGTGGAAGGAGCCGTGTATGAAAATATGGAGAGAGAAGAGAGATATGGCTGACGGCAGTGATGGTGCCGTTGGCTAAAGGAGAGAGAGAGTGGAGGGGTATTTTCGTAGGGTTTGAGGACTATGTTTAGAATTCATATTACCTTGAGTGTTGAATTAAGCCATGTATTTATAGGGCTCTAGGAATCTAGGGTTTTTCAAAGAATCTAAACCCTAAATTGTAGAGATTGAGTCCATTAGGGATTTGATCGGGATCAAATCTCCTAATTTGATGAAGATATCTCCAAATTAGGATAATATCTTAATTGGTGATGTTATTTCTTTAAAATAAAGATAATATCCATATTTTTAGTATCAATTAATTTGCCAAATAAATGAGCTCAATTAATTGACCTAGGAGATATTTTTATTGTCCAAGTGGCGTCTCGTGATTGGAAGCCGAATTTTATACTCCCACATTTACACTAACACCCCTTGAGGTTTCTTGTGATTTCATAAAACCCTCTCAGGTCTCAAAAATTACATGAACACCCCCTGAGATTTCAATTTGTTTTCACAAAACCCCTTTTTGTTGATTGTTTGTCCAAAAATTGATGATTTCATTGGCAAAAAAAAAAAACTTATGCAAATGAAAAAATTAACCTCAACGAAGTGTATGCAATCTAATCTCAAAGGCCAACTTTGTCATTTGGAGAATTTTTTGTATAAAATCATCAATCTTTGGATGAAAAATCGATGAAAATGAGTTTTGTGAAAACAATTTAAAACCTCAAGGGGTGTTCTTGTAATTTCTAAAACGTCCAGGAGTTTTTTGAAAAAACTGAAAACCTCAAGAGTTGTTAGTGTAAATAACTCAAATTTGAACCTTATAGGAACTCTATGTGATACTAAGTCACTCATGTATCTTACCATGCAATGTATAAATGTGTAAAATATTGTAGTAAATCATTATAAATAAATGATTATGGTATGTTTAATCTTCTTTCATTAAATACTACATATTTTCTACACTCATAGTGTTTGTCAGCTCACTATATAATTAACTTAAATCAGTTAAACTCATCATGCAATGCATTTTCTTCCAATTTTTTGTGATAAAGTAATAGATAATTGACTAAATAAACACCTTCCAACGTTTCAAGAAAAATTTCCAAATTTTTCTTACAATTTCTGTGGTTTTTATTCAATTTTTATCGATATCGATAATATCCTGAAATTTCCATTGAAATTTCTGTATTTTTGGACTACCAATATTTCTAAAACCATCAATATTTTAGACCTTGATTGTGATTGAGTCCACAATCGCCTATATATTTCATATGCTAGTTAGGGATATACTTGTCTTTCCCCGGGCAGTAACTTTCTTTGGTTTGTTCATAAAACTTGCAAGTAATATTCATATTCCTGCTCAAAGAAAGTTGGTTTGCTATGTGTAGTGTAGACCCACCAACTTATGAAAGTCACCTACATTAATTTACCTCTCCTCTTTCCTTTTTCTTTCTTTTTTTTTGGTCAGACTCTTCTCTTTCTCTTAAACAAACCAAACTAGCAATTCTTAGAAGATATTTTGATTGACCATATATTATTAGATCGTTAGGTTTTGTTTGGGCAAAAACTAATTTAAATCAGAGCCCAAGTTAACAAAAGGTCAAGCTTACGTGGTCCACCATGTGCTCAATCCAAACCAATCTAGTAAAATGGCCGAGACTTATAAAGACTATAATAAGTAGTTACAAATTTCAACTCAAACTTGCTTGCTAAAACCAACAAGTATAGTTCTAGTAAACTAATTGGAGTATTTCCTCCACAAAATAAATAATAATAAAAAACTTTGCATTTCATAACAAACTAAAAAGATGAGAAACAGAAAGATAATACACTTTCTATGCAAAAGGCCGCCCCTTCTGTTGCAGTTTCAGTTTGTTCCAGGGCCACTGCATATGCACTAGATTACAAAGCAAATCAAGAAAGACCAACCCATAAGCGAAAAAGTATATTTATACACATACATCCATATTTGAAAATTAACACAAAACTGAACACAAAAGTTGTACAAGCATAGCATGCATGGCCGCTCACAAAAGCTTGCCAGGGCATAGAAAATAACTGCTTCACATTTCTGCATTTTCCATTTAAGTAGCATCGTTGTCTGGCAAGCACCGAGTGAGTAAGTAACATCTATTACGCTTTCGTCCACACACAAAAAAAAAACATCTATTACGGAACAGAGGATGACTAAGAAGAGTTTATTTATAGCTAGCCCTTGATGCTGCAATTCTCAATGTGACTGGCAATTTGTTCACACCTAATTGTGGTTATCCTTCAGTACTAAGCTAAGAGTGTATTAATCTTGTGGCTAATTGCTTGTAGTTGTCCTCATTGATTATGATTACCTAGGGAAAGAAAAACATGTGAGAGTAGAGTAAGCTTAAGACAGACAGTCCAATTGCCAATTGCCAATTGGCAGGCAACCAAAAGCTTTATAAACACACACACACACACTGCATATTCCGCGTACAATACATGAAAAAAATACATTTGCATAAAGCCCTTTAAACGTAACGGCTGCTACTGCGGTGTGGCCTATCAGATATCCATTTTGCTCAACCTTCGCTTCACGTAACCTAATGGCTCAAGCTATTAGATAGCTAGGCTAGGCTAGGCTAGGCTAGCAGCTCATTTTTCCCAATTCAAAATCATAACTAGTAATATAAGCTTGAAGGGTTCGAGGAGGAACCTCATTAACTCTTTGCCCACAACACATCAAATATACAGTTTGTTCATAGCTAGCTCCAACTTTCAGTTTCCAACACCCAGCTCAACTCTGTTTTTCTTTTTCTTGGGTCTTCTTTTCCCCCTCTGCTCTCCTATATATAAGGCACACAATGCAACAAGTAGAGCAAGCTCTTTGAGTCTTTGGAGTGCCCCTCGAATCCTCACATACTCCTTAGTAGTTAAAAGAGCTTCACCCTAAGAATGGCAGCCCCTGATGCTTTCCACTTGGCCTCTGTTTTTGGCATTCTAGGTAGGTTCTTTTTTCTTTTCAATTTTTACTTGGTTTTCAATTCTAAATTCTCTCTCTCTCTCTCTCTCTCT